AAGCACTCGCTCACAGCTGAAGAAGTGAAATCAAAAATTGGTTATTAATTATTGTACAGTTAGAACCTAAACTACTTTTAATTTAATTTAAATCCTTCACCATTTTGTATTATATAGTATTTATAGTGAAATAAAATTATCATTATTCTTTAAAAAAAAACATGGAGGACTATATAAGGAATTATGAGGCGGTAAAGGTAAAGACAGCAACTGCCGACACAATTGAGGAATGCAATACATTGCTCAATAAAAATTCAAATGATAAATTAAACATATTTCATAATAACATCAGGAGCATATCAAAAAATTTTGAGGAATTGCAGGTTATGTTGGAAGAGTTTATTGATCCCTTTGACATTATTATACTAACCGAATCCTGGATTGTTCATGATATTAGTTTGTATAAAGTAAGGGATTACACCACAATTTACTCAGAAAGTAATTGGAATAAATGTGATGGCACAATAATATTTATAAAATCTCACCTAAATTTTAGTCACCATATCATCACACTTAATAACATAAAGGCAATCGGAATTGAATTGAGGATGAACAAGAAAATTTTCAATATTTTAGCACTCTACAGGCCCCCATCTACTTGTGTTTATGACTTCAATTTACAATTGAATAATTACCTCAAACGAAAACAACCAGAAATGCACATAGGCCTCATCATAGGTGATATAAATATTGATATCATGGACGAAAGTGATTACTGTCACGAATACTTGAATATATTGCAGGAACACGGCTATCAGTCTGTGATAAATACTGAAACTCGTATACAAGAGAATAGTAGAAGCTGTTTAGACCACATCTTCTTGAAAACCAAAGAAAATTATGAACTCTTTATTCCAATAGTATTGAAATCTTGCCTATCTGATCATTTTGCAGAGATTCTCCAATATGAATTCCAGAATGAAAAAGAAGAAAAAATCGAAGGAAAATATCTGAAAACTTATCTTGATTACAGCGTTTTGAGAAATAAATTATCAGGGGAAAATTGGCTTAGACTATATGAACAAACTGATGTAAATGAGGCAACCTGTTTTTTCATTGATAAGATCAAAGAATATATATCATTGAGTACCACTCATACACGAATGAAGAGAAATAATTACAAAAGAAATCCTTGGATAACGAATGGACTTGTCAAATCAATAAATAGAAAGAACCTCATGTACAAAAATATTCAGAACAATCCAGGAAACACAGAATTATTAAACAATTTTAGGAAATACAGAAATTCGCTTAGTGAACTAATCAAACAAACAAAAATAAAATTTTATCAAAAACAGATTAATGAAACTAAAAACTGTCCGAAGGACATGTGGCGTTTCGTGAAAAATCTGCAGAAAAATGAGACTGAGAAAAAAGTATTCAAAACAATTAAATCAGGTGATACCATATTAACCAATAAATTTGAAATTGCAGAAACTTTTAATAATTATTTCACGGACATTGGCGCGAATCTTGCTGCAAAAATTAACAAACCTAAACAAAAATTTCATAGTGAACCCGTACAAAATTCAATCTATTTGAGAGAAACCGACGGAGATGAGGTAAGAAAAGTAATAAAAGAACTCAAGAACAAAAAGGCGCCAGGTCTAGACAATATTGGTGCAGATACAATAAAGAATTGTGTTGAATTTCTTGTAGGGCCCATCACGTACATTGTTAATCAAGTTCTAACAACTGGTGTTTTCCCAAAACCATTGAAATTAGCTGTCATCAAACCATTATTCAAAGCTGGAGACAAACTGGCTGTATCGAACTATAGACCGATATCACTTCTTTCAAATATTAGTAAGATAATAGAAAAAATCATAAAAATCAGAATTACCGATTTTGTACAGAAATACAAATTGATTTCAGATCACCAGTATGGTTTTGTAGCACAAAGATCAACCCAAGATGCAATTTTAGATCTTACGGGTAAAGTCTACACGGCTTTAGATAGAAAAGAATCGGCGATTTGTTTATTTATAGACCTCGCAAAGGCATTCGATACCGTCAGCCACCCAGATTTGATAGAAACTTTAGAAACCATTGGATTCCGTGGAATAGCATCAGATCTAATGAAGAGCTACTTAACTGACCGAGAACAATGTGTTAAGATTGAAGATACCATCAGCAATTCAAAAAAAGTACGTTATGGAGTTCCTCAGGGAACAGTTTTAGGGCCAATCCTTTTTATAATTTATGTTAATTCTTTATTCAATCTACCAATTCCGGGTGAGATCACTAGCTTTGCTGACGACACAGCCATATTTTTCAAGGATAAAAATTGGATTGATCTGAAACAAAAAATTAATGATTCCATACCCGTTATCTTGGATTTCTTCAACAGTAAATTGTTAACTATCAATTTGAAAAAGACAGTGTTCTTACCATTTACGAGCTATGAAACAAATTTACCAAATTTTACAACAATCAGCACCATTTATAATAGCCAACTCATTGAAATATCTAGCACAAAAACAGTCAAATATCTGGGACTCACTTTGGACAGCCATATGAAATGGGACAAGCATATTAGTAACGTAACACAAAAACTTCGCTACTACTTGTCGAAATTCAGATATTTCAAAAACTTTTTTGACATAATTCATTTAAAAATAATGTACTATGCACTCATACAGACCCATCTTCTTTATGGCATTGTGGCCTGGGGAGGCGTGACTAACACACATTTAAAAAAACTTGAAATTATGCAAAAATGGATACTTAAAATAATATTCAAGAAACCATACACCTACCCAAGCGACATGCTTTATGAAGAATCTGGGTTATTAGATATTCGTCAAATATTTCTTTTTACCATCATAATACACAAGAGGAAAAACTTGATTACCAGTCAGCATATCCAACATAATCATAATACTAGGTCCAAAGAGAACACATTAGTGGTACCTAATATGTCAAAAACTATTGGACAGAGGAGTTACATTTATTTAGCCCCTAAAACATATAATATAATTCCCCCCCAAATGAAATTATTGAATTCAATGAAACTTTTCAAAACCCAAGTGAAAAAATGGATAATGAGTATGCCTAGAAGTGAAACACAACGCATAATCGATCTTAAAAATAATTAAGTTTGTTGTTGATATTCTGATACCGTTTCATGGTTACCTGTTAGGTCTGATTTAGATTTAATGTAGTTTGTAGTAAGTTATTAAATAAAATATAGAAATTCGTCATATAATAATTATTGAATGAGTGTGACTGAGTGAATAAATTCTCATCAATATGTGATAGCTAAAGATCTTGCATAACAGTAACGACACACAAGAGTGATTGTAAATTTATTGTGAGCGATCCACGCGCGGGTTTTCCCTTGTGGACTTCTTGTTTATTTACATTTATTCTAAAGTGTTTTTTGATCATACTAGAATTCAATTAATGTAATTCACACTGTACTCATATGTATGTATATTTCGTATATTTCGGTAAATAAACATTATTATTATTATTATTATTATTATTGATCTTCCAAAACCAACGGTGTATCGCATTCGAAAAATTCATATTAATGGCATTTCTCATAAGAACCCATGTGTTGGAGAGATACAGAGAATAGATTTTTAATCCAACAACTGTGATGATGGCAGCTCAAAGACGAAACGTCGGTTTGAAATTCTGATAACACCATCTTATAGAAGAGAAAAAGATAAAACTGCATTTATCATGCGATGGGTTTTTTCAAATTTTTTTTTGGTACTCACGTATTTTCGTCTGAAAAACACGAATTTGATAATGAAAATGTAAACAAACCATTATTTATCAAGATATTTCACTATAAAGTTCTTTTCCGCCTGTCTTCTGGATCGTATTTAGAACAATTTGCTCTTCTTTTTTCATCATTGGACAATTATTTATAAATATCACAATATACGATAAATTTTTTTTCTATTATATGAGTCAACCAGAAATTTGTTTTTCTTGTGATTTTTTCATAATTAGTGAAAAGAAGGAAGAATATAATTTTAAATAATGGCGTGTGTATTTGTGTAACGTCAATCAAAAGCAATCTGTTGACATTTGACATCTCGTATTCAGTATTGATTAAATGGCCGTCATCTGGTATGCATGTTCATTAAATATAAAAAACTCGCCATTAGAATCACATTTCCTGTTGAATTTTCTATATAAAAATGTGTCATTGAAGTATATCATGAGTATAGAAAGTGGAAAGAGAAGGCGAAATTTCGAACTTTTTGAAATATCTCGATAAATAGTGGTTTGTTCACATTTTCATTATCAAATTCATGTTTCTCAGACAAAAATACGTAGGTACCAAAAAAAAAATTCGAAAAAAAAAACCCATCGCATGATAAATGCAGTTTTACCCAGAAAAAAGAGCAATGAGAACGTGTAATTTGTTTTGCTACAGTAAAATAGTCAGAAAAAAATTAAAATTAAATCGCGAATATTCGTTTTTTTCTAAAAATGTTCGGAAGTATTCGGAATTTTTCAAATTTCAAAACGGCATTTTGTTAGTCATAAAATAGTGCAACTTTTATTCCATTTAACCCTCTCTGTAGCTCTTACCGTTTCCCCATGCATCTACTCGAATTTCACTCACCCCTATAGATCTTCACTATAAAATGATTTGGATTTGATTATGTATGTTTGAATCTAGTGATGTCTTCGGAAATTCAGTTATTAGCTCACAAAAAAAATGCTTGGAAAAGTTATAAAAGGGCATCACTTTTGTACTAGACAATAAATATTGGACCACAATTTTGGCAAGTGAAAATTTTGTGATACATGAACACCAACTTTGTTCACCTAATTCTTTTTCAAATTGAAATAGGTCACTGAACGAGAAGTCCAACAAATTATTTGAACAAAATTTGATACAACTCACCTTGATAAACTTTGTTTTGCCTCTTCACGTGGAACTATACAATAATTATTAAAAAAAGATCTGGGAAACAGGAAAAATGAGGATAGGAAATGAAGAAGAATACTCGATAATGTTAGAGTAGTCATACCTATCCCACTGAAGGAGCCAGCCATCAGGTGTAGCTTCTTTTTCTAATTTTACAAGTTCAGAACACATCTCCTTCAACCATTTTTGGAGATAGGAGAGTTTCAGACCACCTTCATTCATTGCACTGAACAGTGTCTGAAATAAACATAAAGTGGGTAGTGTTATAGGGACAGTTGGACCTCGCTTTTCATTGGTCTAGAGACGCTAGGCGAGATTACAGCATCATTAATGCAAGTGGCTAGATGATCGGTCGACTGTCTATGAGCAGTCTAAAAAACAATGAATGATCAAACAATATATATATTATTTACTAGATCCACCCTCGCCTTACCGTCCTGTAGAAAGCATTGAAACTCACGTAAAATAGAGAAAGGCCATAGATATGACTACATTATTTTTTAGTTATTTGGATGCCTAGGCCGCGAAGTAACTTTTTGGCGAGCTGAAAAAAAAGTTATTATCGCCGAGGCCGTTTCCGGCCGAGGAAAGATAATCTTGAGGTGCCAAAAAGTTTCGCGGCCATGGTATACACACTATTTTGGTTGAAAGAAATACATGTTTTTCATTTTATAATTATTTCCTTCATGATTTAAATTCACCCTGAATTCTTAACTTTGTTGTTTCTGACAGAAAATGTCTGATTTGACAGCTATTGAATGAAAAAAATCATAAAACTTCATTTTCCATTATTTCTGAAGTAAGTACTGTTTACGAAATCCTAATTTGCACAAATTAAAGAGTAAAAAAAATCATATGATGCAGACTTCAACGGTTACACTGTATATTCAATATCTTTTCACTCCACCCCGTATACCAATAATATATATCGGATTTATTCATACTTGTGCGGGAATTTATCGGTTAAAAGGATGGCGTAACTAATTGGTCATCAGAATGATGAATCAAACAAATCAGCAGTCTCGTTTTAGATTTCATCGCGTTCTGTCGATTCAAGTGAAAAAAACTCGAACTATTCGAAAGTGAAATTCCTCTTCGGTTTAGTGATTGTATTTTCATTTGAGTGTGTGGAGGTGGTATTTTTTCAAGATGGTAAGTGTTTGTTTATATGATGGGTATTCATCGCGTTGTTGGTATTTTGCTTCGGTATATTTCCATAGAACGATGAGAAAATTTGAAATCAGCTTTCTTCACCTATATATACAGAGAAACTAGATGGCTATTAATGCAACACGTTGAGAAAATATTCGCCATTTTGTTAAGAGTTAACACAAATATTTGTAAATTTCGTATTCATTTGGGATGAAATAATTCGCTTTGTTTACTTATACAGAGGTACTTAATTGAATGGAATCTTACCTATGAATCGAAGTTTGAACGATTTCTATGAAATTGAAAAGGTTAAAATATGTCGATTTTTGATTAAATTTAGTTTTTAAAATAATATATAATCAAATATAGAGGGTGAACTAAGTTAGTGAATTTTATTTTCGAACAAGCAAATTCCATATTTGATATAGATGTTTCTAGTACAAAGTTATAAATCTGACTGAATGTGGGAATGAACAAAAAATGTAACAAGAGGATTTTGAATAGTCAGCGAAATTGAAGAGGTCCATGGGAACGACGGTGCAGAATCTCCAGTTCTTAGAAAGCTTATGAGAACTGTTGATATAATTCGTTTGATGACTTCACAGTAGTTTTTGGATGGAATACCTTTTTTTTTCATTTCCGGATTTTTCCAGCTGAGCTTATTTCAATAATGCATCACATGTTACTTCAAATTGGTAAAGCGTGGGCAAAAATACAATAGTTTATGAAAATTGATATAAAAAATCGACATATCAAGAGTTTTCAATAGTTATATCTTTTTAGCTAATAATTAATTTATGTACCATTTGAAATAGAAAGATAAAATTTTTGACTTTGTATTTTCTGACAGGAAATGTCTAATTCAACAGCTATCGATTGATCAAAAAAATAATTAACTTCATTTTGGATTATTTTAGTATGAACTGAATGATAGAAAAATTCCATATGATGCAGACTTCAACGGTGACACTATACAGGGTGTCCCTAAAAGGTCTGTACAACATTTTATCAAATATTCCTTGGGTCAAAATGGGCCGATTTAAGGCAACTTACCACAGTTCGAAATTTCTTCGTTTCAGAGATACAGGGTGGAGAAGATAAAAAAATAAAAATCGTAAAGTACACTCTAAGAAATTATTTAAAAATATCCATTTTTGCACTGCTAATTCAATGATCAAATTACATCATAGAAGATAACAGTAAATATTTTTTATTCAAATATTCAGGTGCAGCATCGAACATTAAAAACCGAAATATCTCTAAATCGACTTTATTTAGCGGATTATCACAATAGTAGGTACCTTTTTTGCTTAAACATGAAAATAATTCAAGAAACTACACAGAGAAAAAGTTATCACTATTCTAAATCATAGAGAACGAAAGTACATTGGTAAGCGCCCTCTAACCGCCACAGTGAAAAATAGCTCGTATTCGTGTTTCGCATCACAAAAAAAACCATAAATCAATATTTGAAGTTATACGTTTTAAAATTATGAGAATTTTGATTTTCATTCTTTAACTTTACCACCATGTATCTCGGAAACGGAACAATTTCGGACTGAGTAAGTTGCTTCAAATCGGCTCCTTTTGACCTCAGGTATATGTGCTGAGTTTTAGTACAGAGCTTTCAGGGACACCCTGTATATCAGATTTCTTTTCACCCCACCCCTTATACCTACTATCGATATCGAAATCAGTCATACTTGCTCGGGAATTAATCGGTTGAAAGGATCATGTAACTGATTAGTCACCAGAATGATGAATCAAACCAATCGGCAGTCTCGTTTTTGATTTCATCGCATACGGTCGACTCAGGTGATATAAAAAAAATACTCGAATTATTCAAAAGTGAAAAATTCCAATTAATATTCGGTTTGGTGAATGTATCGATTTCTATTATCGTTACAAGTTGAGATTACTAATTGTGTACCTCGTTTGCGAACGAATACGACCCACGATAACAGAGCGAATTTCTCGACAAAATTCCCGAACCCCATTTTTTTTAAGTTTAACAAAAATTCCATAATGTATTGTCACCGAAATTATGAACACCATCCAAATTTCAAGTTAATCGGAGTTATGGAATTCTTGTTGAAATTTAAAAAAATGGCTGCTCCAAGATGGCGGAAAAGATTAGGTCCGATTCCATTCAAAATTGGTAAGTGGGGGTTTTTGAGGTCAGAGATCATGATTTTTTTGTTGAAATTTTTAAATCCAAGATGGCGGCTTCCAAATAATTTTTTGTTTTTGTATAAATGACGATAACTCCGTTGTTATCAACAAAAAACTATTACTGCGACATATTATCTGTAAGAGAAAACAAAGTTATTTGTAACTAGGTCATAGTGAGCTATGACCTACATTCGAAAAACTGAAGTTGGTGCTGATATCTCAAATTCTAGAAGAGTTGGTATAAATTTCATATTTCTTTCAAAATCACTTTGAAAAACTGCCATGAGGATGTGAAATCCCTATTTGAATATTTTCATAAATAAAGAAGTTATGGAGGAGACATGAAAATGATCAAAATCTGTTTTTTGCATATAAAACAAAAAACGAATAGATTTTATCAAAATATTTTTTCACATTATAGTTGGCCTTGACAAACTCCACATTTGGTGTCATTTAACCGACTTTGTATCTCTCACCGTTAAAAAGATACCCATGGTGAGCATGGTAAGTGGGACACACTGTATATTGAATGATTGATTGAAGAACAAGAAATATTTTCTCATTTATTAATCACTGCTGTCTGGAATAATTAATCAATTGATTTAATAATCATAATTTTTATTTTATTCACCTTACAACAGGTATTACTTCCTGAGGATTTCTTAGTTTATTCAATACCAATATGTATACTTTTTATTGATATAATGTAACCATTTTGAATAAACTTCAATATTATAGGTTTCCACACTGTATATTATCATTACTCTGAACAAGCATTATACTCATATTATATTTCTCAATTATAGTTTGTATAGAAATTCTATTAAATGGAGACTATTCTATTTTGAAAGCATACCTCTGCTTGAATAACCATAGTTTGCACAACTGAAACAGCTGAACTTCCAACATTCAAGAACACAAGTTTTTCTCTTAGTGTAGAATACATTCCATCAACTTCATTTCTATCTATTCCTACTTCTTGTTGGTCATCTATCTCACAAGTTTTTACTATTTCATCTTCTCTGGTCACAGCAGGTATGGTTGGATTCAGAATATCTGATTTCACAAACATAACACCCCCTTTTTGAAAACCAGGATAGGTAGTAGTAGTTGTAGTAGTACTAGTACTACTAATACTCACTTCAGGATTCAAATCTTTCTCGAATCCAAATCCTTTTCTCTCCTCACACATATTACCTTCATTTTTCTTTTTCACAGTATTAACTAATGCTACTCCTATTCTCTTTTTCCTCTTGAAAGCTTTGTTATTGAAATCATTTTCAATTTGTGGTATTTCATCTTCAATTTTAGGAGGAATGAAGTCCTTCACATCTACAGGTTTAGAAATTGGAAATAGAGTGCTGTGTGATTGTGAGGGAACAAGTTCTGTCTGGAATACTGTCTTTATTTCTTCATTTTCTTCTTCACTATCACTATAACCAGCTACCAAAGAAAAACCTGAGATTGTTTTCATTTTGTTCTTTGGAGGGGGTTCTAGTGCATCCTTCACAGTACTGACTACTTCTTTGACTCCTGGTGGTAAATCTCCACCTAATTCTTTCAATTCCTTGGCTTTTTTCTGAATTTTTGCCAAGATGTCCAAATCATCTTCCTCTTCAGAGAGAGCACTCTCTTCTGCAACTGATAAGGACTGATCTGTGACCTGAAATTATTCCTCAAACTAATATTCATAAAAAATGTTTGAAATCAATTGCCTCAGAATCTGCGAAACCTCAACATAATTTATGGAGATCTCTAGCAGTGAATCATCACAGGCATATAACAATTGGAATAGTCAGATTGAAAACTTCAGAATCATGTGTTGCAGTTATGCTACATCTGAGGCTTTTGTCATCATTCAATTATCATTTAGATTTGCAGATAGTAATTGGCCTTCAAAAAATTAAATTAATATGCTCCCTGAAATCAACTTGCAAGTTTCAGCAAATAGATGAACAAAATTATACCTATTAATAGAGATGTAAATTCAAGATAATAATGGGAATAACAGAATGCTATGAATTGCTCATTCTTATGTGTACCCCATTAACTCCATTTGACAAAAAAGTGGAGTTACCACTTTTAAGCTTACCAAGCACAGCATTATTCCCTGTTGCCAAGGTCATTAGATGATGTTGCCTGATGACATTCAAAACTAATCAAAGCCACTAATCTGTGTCAAAACTATGGGGAAACATTCTAATTCCTGGCATAGTTTGAAAGTTATTAGACATGTTTTCCTGTGGTTTTTGATGTCATCACAACATCATCTTATGACCTTGGAGACCATGAATTGTATTTAGAATACATTACTAACATTTTTAGTTTTTTTCTCCTCAGGTTCCTCATCTTCTGAACCTGTATCACTACCATAGGAAGATATCAATATGATTTTTCTGAAAAATACAGTGTTTTTCATTGAATTTAATAATAAAGAATAACTGAGTATTTACTCATCCTCAGAATCACTATTCTTCTTGTGAGGCCTTTTCAGGGTTTTATCTGATACCTTCTGCTGATCCTTCACTATATTTTTATTGCTAGAACTTTCACCAATTGAATATATCTTTATTGATTCTTGGGGAATTGCAGTGGCAGTGCTAATTCCAGGAAATAATGGGGTAACTTTAGGTGGAACATACATTCCAGGCCTTTTCTTGATGTCAGATTTGGTCATTTTTGTTTCTTTATAATCTTCAGGAGTATTCCAAGTGACTTGGTCAGTTTTGGTATTCCAATAATATGAGAAGCCAGTGAGTTCATCATAGCATTTCTGCCAAACTGAAATCATGGAAATAAGGACAATAAGTTGAAATTGAAATTGAATTATCTAATGGTGGATTCATAAGCAAGTTCTATGTTTCAAATATGAGTTTCACAATGAGTTATAAAACTACATGACATGTACATTAATTATTTTTTTTTATGTTTTCATACTATGAATACAATAGGAAACTCACCACAAGTTTCATTTATTTCAGGTACATTTTTAACAACTTTTGGTTGGACTGCTCGTGCCACTGATGGAATTGGTGGAGCTATCTCATTTATTTCATTCAAAAAATCATCTACTTTTGCATCCATCACATTTCTTTTGGAAGCTCAGGAATTGTCAATAATATATTGATTAGTTCAATCTAAACAAATAATCACAATTCAATTTACTGAATCAAAATGAAATTTCTCCACAAATATCAAAATATTGAAAATATGGTTATACTGATCAAGTGAACAATGAATCAATCAACATCAATGATCTGGATCAGCGCACGAGCCGCACGACTAGAGCAGTGCTGCCATGTTGCCAACCAGAAAATTACAAATGTCGATACGTCACTGTACTAGTAGCGTCTAAGCAATGACGGCTAAATATCTGGACCACAGATTAACAAACCTCTGGACTGTCTGACGGGAGTACTCGTCAGGCAGTCCAGATATTTAGCCGTCATTGGTCTGAGGCTATATTCCGAATTCAACTGGTCAGTACTGTCAATCCACTGACTCTGCTGAAAATCTGTGATCCGAAATATAAAATCGAAAACTGTAATTCGAACACGTTTTCATGGTAAATATTCAGCAGCAGTTTATCTGAACTAGGGTCCCTTGATGCAAACTGACGTATTTGTCATCTTACGCACTGTTCACATGAGAAAGTTGGAAAATTAAACACTACAGGAAAAATAAAGAGATTGTGGGAATTGTAATAATTTGCAAATACAATATCCTCCTATATCATAATGAACAATCGGAGAAAAAATTGTATGTTCAACTCGGCAGCAAAGTAGATTGACTGCCTTAGCTGAATTCAGAGCCGAGCCGATAGCCACTACTTTGCTGCCTAGTAAAACAAATAACTATTATTAATATAAATATATTATGATTTCTACGCGCTACGCAGGCTACGCTGCCATGCTGCCAAAGTCACTCTAGGTAGGGTCCCTTGATGGAAATTGACGTTAAAGTCATCTTAACAGGGTACGGACAGATCCTCGTCTCCTCTCACTCTAAAGTGTTTGTGAAACAGGTATATAGTTCCATCCTTATTCAATTCTGGGGATAAACACTAGATTTTTGACATTCGTTGTTTTTTAGGTTATATTGAGGTCACTGGCGTATCATACGTAATTTCCATATGGAATTCCTGATTCAACTATACCAAGAAATAGTTGAATAATCCTCTAGTTTTAGAGTTTACTACTCCAGCATAATGTTTGCGATTCAGGAAACATATAAATTGTTCTGGAAGCTCAATATATTTCACCAAAAGAGACTGTTCTTAGACTGTATACCAGGGTCGACTGAATTGACTGAATAAATTCTGATTTCAAGCTGAGCAGTAGTTTATCTATGAGCTGTATGAGCTGAGCCTTATGATTGAGAAATAGTGGAAACCTCGATGTGGGTATCTGGCTCCGAACAACGAAGGTATCTGGACTACTGTACTCATGTCATGTGTGCTAAATATATTTTCAGAAATCCAACTCGGAGAAAAATTTATGGAGTTACTAATATCACACTATGTATAAAACTTCGTCTAGGACGAAAAGTAGGCTGATAAAAATTAATACGTAAAATGTGCAGGAAAATAAAGAATAGAATATACTTCACCCCCATGTTATACATATGATTTTTCCGTTTCTTTCAAATAAAGAGTCATTTTCGAAAAATTCATTGGTTGAACTAACAAAGAAGTAGGTATACGATAAGTATACGCAGTATAACTTATAGGCACGTTATTTTCACTCTTGCATCCTAAATATTTTCTATTTGTGGTAGAGTTATAATTATATGAACTAATGTCTTTCGCCATATTGGATCCGTCATCTTGAATATCTCAATCGTTGGCGAAACAATCATTATCTCCTACCCAGAAAACCCCCAGATACCAATTTTGAATAGAATCGGATCTTCATTACAAAACTTGTTCACCATATTAGATCCGCCATCTTGAATATCCCAATTTCGACGAAATAATTATAATCTCTGATCCCGGAAATCTCCAGAATTTTGATTTTTTGAATAGAATCGGATCCTAATGACAAGTTTCATTCGCCATATTGGATCCGCTATCTTGAATTTCCCAATTTTGACAAAAAATCATAAAGTTCGACCGCGAAAACCCTCAGATACCAATCTTAAATAGAATCAGATCATAATTAGAAATTTCTTTTGCTATATATTGGATCCGTCATCTTGAATTCTCCAAGTTTGACGAAACAATTATCATCTCCAACCCCAGAAAACCCCACATACCTTCCAATTTTGAATAGAATCGGATCATAATTACAAAACTCGTTCGCCATATGATCTTCCTCAACAAGTAAATACCCTGTACATACCTATTATCAAGATTTTGAATGATTTTCTGTAGCGCCCATGGATGTGACGTGACAGCAATGTCAGGGATGCCAGTAGACAAAACTAAAATCTCTAGATCATTAAAAAAGAATGCAGCTATGATCTGTCCGTACCCTGTAAAAGTGACTTTAACGTCAATTTCCATCAAGGGACCCTAACTCTAGGCACCACTGCAAATAAGGGATGTTGATTTTTCCAAAAATAAATCGATTTTTGAATCGATTCGAATCGGAACTCTAAAGAATCGAATATAGATAGATCGAGGTAAAAATTAATCGATTCTCAAAAATCGATTGACCTCACAAACTGCGTCAAATTTGTAAAAAATACTGTTTTTCTTCAGATTGTGTATCATTTCAACATAACTTGAGGAATATTATCATGAATGCAACTAAAAAGTATAGAATTTTATGCAAAATGATGAAGTATAAAAATAAATTCCCAATAGCGAAGAAACATAAAGAACAAAATTATTATATTTTCTCAATCAAAACGATATAAGAAGTTCAAGATCAATCTTCGTAAAAAAATAATCGATTCGATGAATCCGAAAAAGATCGATCTCTGAAAAATCGATTTTAGAATCGGCATCGGCATCTCATACCCATCACCCATCCCTAAATACAATACAACATGGCGGATGTCCATCAATGATTTCGTCTTGGGTTTCGCTAGTTGTATAAAATATTTAAATTTCAATACGAATATTACGAATTTGTCCCAAAAAGCATCATATTCGTGCATGAATTGAGAAATTGGAACATTACCAATCCAAAGTTCATAGTCACAGTATTATTGTACAATGAGTGATGGAAATCTTACTGATGGTGCCGACATGGCGGATGAAAATTTCGAGGAAGATATCGGCTTCGAAAATGATATTGATATGAACAAAGACTTCCTGCCGCGGGGGCGAGGTCGTGGAGGATTTCCGTAAGTTTAATTTATCATCATCCCAATTCAAATTTTATGGTAATCATAATAATCAGCTTCATGAAACTGGAGAGGCGTCTGATCATTAGTTTGTCATTTTCAGGACTAATCAGGACAGAAGTGGTCTGTTAATGAAAATCTTGTAGCTACTATTCACATTGAATTTAAACTCATCTTAGGAACATTTGGATTTGGTTTTGTTGTTTAGTGAGAGCTCCAGCCAGAGAGGAGAGAAGTTACCTAAATACTTGAACCCTATTAAATAGGCATTTTGAATAGAATTTCACCTCTTTTCATCTTAATTCTGCTATTTTACTGTGTGTGGTCTACAACCTCAGATTTTGAGCTTTTTGAAATGAGCCATTTGTCTAGTGGGTACTGCCACATTCACTAACTCTATGATATCATCAGGAAACCATAGAAGCAGCAACCATTTACTTTTTTATAGATTCTTCAGCAGGAAAAATTATTTTAAAAACTTTGCTATCATTCCATCACTAGAAATACCAGTCTTACAAACTCCACAAGCCCAGTCAGCACATTCTTTCGTTGTCAACTTGAAATATGTTGTACAGCACTTTGTCAAAACTTGGTTGTTTATAGGACAGCAAAGCTCTGGAATTCATTGCCTGACAAATTTTCAAGAACTTATTATCTCCAGAAATTCAGAAAAATATTCCAATACCTACCTCCTCTCCCTATCCTGCTCAGATATGCTCTATGTTCTTGGAACATTATAGGAATTTCCTTTCATGCCCTCCAAGCTATACAAAAAAATAGGTAATTAGTTCAGGGAACAGCAGAACAGCACCTCTATTCAAAAATGACTACCACCCCTCTATATCATTCTTTGTGGCTTCCTTCCTTCTCCCTTTCCACATGTCCACAGAAGTTTTTATCATAGGAATTTCATGTAAACATGGTGTTGGATATTGGTGCTTACCATCCAACTGATTTTTTCAGAATTGTTCAATGAATATTTCTGAAATCACATAGGCACTTGTTGATATCATGTAAAAAAAAATTGTGGGCCACTTTTTCAGTTGAATGCTCTGAAATTGTCCCATTCATGATAACTGTTCACACTGATTGCCAACAATCAAAGTTATATCTTGATTTCTTCAAAATGAAGTATACTGAAATAGTTGTCCCACAATCCAACTATAGGCACTACTATTCATAACAATATGAACTAGAAAATAAAAATAATGTTTGCCCCCCTTTTGTTTTGGAAGCAACAAGATATTAGCTTTTATATTGGAATGGGGTTGTACACACTAGTCAAATTTACATCATAAAGTGCACAAAAACGGCTGATGCTGTAACTTCTGAATCATGCTATTTCAGATTTCAAAAATTGGTGGGTGAGAAGAAAAACAAATTTCTGATTTATTATTAAAACACATTTTGTTCTATCACCGGAAATCACCCCAACTTTTAATTTTTAATTGGGACACCCTGTACTTTATTCCATAATTGGTCTTTATATATATATTTATATATTATATCTTTGTAATCATTTGAAATAACCATATCAAACTATTTATCATTGAATTTGTTATGATGAACCCTGACCGATTATAGAATTAAATACAGGGTGTCCCATCTAAAAATCAAAAGTTGGTGTTGTTTCCAGTGAAACCGGAAGTTATTGAACAAAAATTGTTTTGTCAATTAATGAGCAATTTATTTTGAAGGATTCAGTTTCTATTTTATTTGGATCATTAGTAACAGTATTTGATACAGTTATTCTTTATTCAAATTCATCACACATATTATTTTTTTATAATCAAAATAATCACCTCTCAAAAACACTGGCTCTTGATGACATGACATAGTAATAAGCACTTTTTATTGCTCAAAATTCAATGAAAATATTGCCACATCCTACATAGAAATAATAATTTACCTACCTCCATAGTAGGAGTGTACTGAAATTACTCAATATACACGCCTGGCAAAAATGATTTTTCCATAGGGGAACCCAGTGCATTCTGTGCATAGACGCTGTCTTATTGAGTTAGCTGCCTAGAAAACCCAATGTATCAAACAGGAAAAAATATATTCTTTTCAAAAATGGCTCTGCTGAGTTTGCTCCAAGCTTGCAAAGCCACTGGTTTCTCTTGAAAAATATGCAGCAAACAATTTCAGAATGGTATAATTAATGAGCCTACAGTCAATACTATTGCTTTGTCTCATAAAATCCTTATACAGGGTGGCATTAAAATAAGTGCAAATATTTCAAACACTGAAAAATAAATGCTTTTGATGAAAATGCAAAAGCCAAAATCATTAAAAGATCTGTAACCAGATTGTTATTTCTGGAAAATTGCGTCTGTTGATGCTTGAAGTTATTTAAGATTGTTGTGCCTCTTATACTGTATTAAGAAGTATTGAGAAAGTGTGTCAATTGTGTGTTAGGGAAAATGGACATCAATTTGAAGAATTCAATGAATAAGTTTCTGAATAATTTCGAAATTCAATTGTTTTAGTAAATATTTGATCAGGTGCTTATTCTACATTATGAACTTTTTATTACAATTTATTTGTGGCTTTCAGGTACCTAACTTTTGCGTTTTATTAGTTGATTAGTGTTGATATTGTTTTTGTCATCTTCATGGAAAAATCGATAGCAATATTCCTTCAATTCAACTTTTTTTATATGAAAAATCCATAGCCCACTATTAAAATTGCATGTTTTAGTGATTTTTGAGCATTATAATATACAAAATACGTCAAAACAGGAGGTATGTTTTTTTTTAAATTTTTATTAACAATAATTCAGAGCCATTCTCCAACCTACTGCTTCATCATGTTTTGAATTGAAGTGTGATCTTTTTTCGGCCCTTCTCAACACAATGGTTCTAGATTCACGTCAATATATTCTTTTTAAGAGAAGATACAAGTGCTTTAGGAAAGTATGGAATTATTTAATTTTTAATAACAATAATTCTGAACCTATAGCATCTCAAGTCCGTATGACATGGGCCAGTTTTTCACTCATAAAATGGATCATTATTGATCACAATAAAACATTCAGAATAATCGGAATCATTTTCTGTGGGAAAATTCTGTGCTGTCTTGAGATCACAGATAAGATATTAAGGGGCATGCGCATGTTATGAAATAATCACGGATATATAATATGCAGATGCATATGCCGGTTGTGCGTGTATAGTAACCTCAAAATATATGTTAAAACGCGAAAATCTTCAATTATGCGTTTATTGAATATACTACAAAAATGACATCAATATGTTTACATCCAACGCCATGCCAAGACTGGTACTCTCGTAGTCCCTCTCTTCTCGCCACGCTTTCACATCGTATAGTTCCAGACCTCACTGTTAGTTGAGATGCCAGGGCCTGCCTGGTCCCTATCGCTGGTTAAGAGGGCATATTCCGCAGCGCCTCCGCCAATAAACGAGGTACCGCTCCCAAGTTCCCCTATGGTTATGGATCATGCTAGAGGCTCAATTTTTTTTTCCTGGGTAGTCAAAGGTCCAATCGATGCATCTTATCGAATGGATTCTCATTTTTTTACATAGACTAATTTATAAACACCTGTAAAGTAGTGCGTTTTTGACCGATTTTGTGAATTTTTTTCTACGTTATGGAATCAAAAATGGAAAAACTACTCGATAAGATGCACAGATCAGATGTAGTACTCTCCAAAAATAATTTTTATTTACTGAAATCTTATTTGGTTTTCGCATGGGAAATTGGGAGCGGAGGCACAGTGAAGAAGAATTTTCCCTGTGGGCGCGGCACTTAACAAAAATAAGCTCCTCCCATAAAGTTCAAATGCCTTATTGATAGTCAATGGTCCTATGATGAAGTATGATATTTATTATTTTCACGAAATAGTCTGCGATCCAATTTGTCTTTTCATGATACGAACCTATTTATACTTCGTTCAATAAACCTACAAGACTTATACCTGATGTATAATAAACATAGGTATCATGATAGAATTAACAAAGCAACTGTGTTATATCTATACTCATATAATATATTTTTTCTAATTCTTCGAACACAGGGAAGTGCTGGAATGTTCTAAACGATATCTTTAGTATACCTATAGTCCAACAAATAGATATAGATAGACTAATTTTTTTATGCAAAGTTGAGCCAACAAAAAACACGGTTGCTTCGTCATACCGCCATGCATTTCTATAGAACAGGTGAGATGAGAGAAAAAGTATAAGACATTTTACAGTTTCCATATTATTCTGGGAAAAATGAATGAAATACTGATCTACTCATTCCACAGAGGAATGTCCTAGATAATAATAATTAAATGGAATACATAGATAAAATCCGAGATGAAATCCTTCTGATGTTTGGTTAGGTATGCGTTTTTTGCTTTCCAATGAATTCAAAGAATCCAGAAAATAATGTATAGAAGAGTCGAGATCAAACTGATTCAAAGCTGTGAAAAGAAGATAGACAGAACGAATCACCGTTATTCTTTGGAGGGGTATATGCAAGAGAAAAAAATCTCTCAGATGGTTAGTTAGAGAATTATATATCCAAAAATACCTAATCAATGCAGCATCGTTGGTTTAGGGGGAATGAACATTTGCAGAATTGGAATTAGAATAGGTGAGGAAAGCGAAAAAGTACTCCAAGATTTATGAGACATTTTACATTTTCCATAATATTTTGAAGAAAATGAATGAAATACTGATTCACTCATTCTCAGATAAATGTCCTAGATAATAATAATTATATGGAATATATCTATAGATACAATCCGAGATGGAATCGTTCTGGTGGTAGGTAGAGGTATGCAATTTTTGCTTTCCAATGAATTCGAAGGATCTAGAAAATAATGTATAGAAGTTTGAAAAACTACTGAAACACGCTTTTATGGATAGCCAAACTAAATAGAAGTAGAAAATAAAATAGAAAAAGTGTGTTGATACATATTAAACTGAAAAAATATTTTTTAAAAATAATTTTTAATGCAATACAAAGTTTGCCAGGTCAGCTAGTGCCTGATATAACTACCTATGTCTGATGTCACCATTTCCACTATAACTGTGCTCGGTATTTCAATCAGCCAAAGTATTTCTAAGGATAATCATAATCAGGTCAGATCCATTGGCGCGTAATCTGCTCCACAAAAACTTGGATTCTCGTTTCTTGCGAAAAGCTGCTTTACACCTCAACAACCATTTTTGAAAATAATATATTTTTCACTGATTTGATAGATCAATATTGATAAGCTGATTCTAGGCTGATTCATTACTCATATTTTCGAATTTTTCGCTCATCGTTTCAAGCAAAAAAATCTATCAAAAGCATCTTTCATGACGATTTTGCAAGACAAAATGTTAGTATTGATTGTAAGCTCAATAACTATTCCATTTTGGAAAAATTTGCTGCATATTTTTTAAAACAAACCTGTGGGTTTGTTGGCTTTCGGCGAACTCAGCAGAGCCATTTTTGAAAATAAAATATTCTTCACTGATTTGATAGATCGATATTGAAAGGCTGATTTTAGGCTTATTTATTACCCTATTTTTGAATTTTCTGCTCAACGTTTCAAGCAAAAAAGACGAAACGATTCGTCGAAATACGCGGTTATTCAGTATACATTATGCATCTATCAAAAGCATAATATTTTATGACGATTGTTCAAGACAAAGTGTTAGTATTGATTGTAAGCACAATAACTATTCCATTTTGGATTTTTTCGCTGCGTATTTTTTAAAACAAACCTGTGGCTTTGCTATCTTATTCGGGCGAACTCAGCAGAGCCACTTTTAAAAATAATATTTTTTTCACCGATTTGATATATCGATATTGAAAGGCAAATTTTAGACTATAATTGATTACCCTATTTTCGAATTTTGTGCTCAACGTTTCGAAGGAAAAAAAAAACACGAAACGATTCGTCGAAATATGCGTTATTCACTATCATGCATTTCTATCAGAAGCATATTTTATGAGGCTAAGTGTTAGTATTTATTGTTAGCTCAATAACTATAACTATTCCATTTTAGTGAATGACGCGAATCGTTTCGTGTTTTTTTTTTTGTTCGAAACGTTGGACAAAATATTCGAAAATAGGGTAATTACTCGGCCTGAAGTTGCCTCTCAATATCTATTTATCAAATCAGTGAAAAATATATTATTTTCAAAAATGGCTCTGCTGAGTTCGCCCGAAGCCAGCAACATACGTTTCTTTTAAAAAATATGTAGCAAAAAATCCAGAATGGGATAGTTATCGAGTTTACAATTAATACTAACACTTTGCCTTATGAAATCGTTATATAAGCTAGCAAAGCCACAGATTTTTCTATGATAGAGAGGAGCGGAGCGTGAAAATTTGGCATAGGGAAATAAATTAACCTAAAATGCGCACTGCATTTCCATTATATCAGATCATCAAAAAATATTGTTTTTAAAAATAGGCTTTGCTGAGTTCGGCCGAAGCTAGCAAAGCCACAGACTTTTCTATGATAGAGAGGAGCGGAGCGTGAAAATTTGGCATAGGGAAATAAATTAACCTAAAATGCGCACTGCATTTCCATTATATCAGATCATCAAAAAATATTGTTTTTAAAAATAGGCTTTGCTGAGTTCGGCCGAAGCTAGCAAAGCCACAGATTTTTCTCTGATAGAGAGGAGCAGAAAATTCGGGAATGGGGTAATAAATTAGCCCAAAATGAGCCTAAAATTATGAGATGTGTTTCATGTTGAACATCGAAAGTAGCTTTGTTAGCTACTTCAGTATGTTTCCAAGTACTTAGGTATGTTCTCCAAAAGTTATAAAAAAATCCAATACCTACCTCCTCTCCCTATCCTCCTTAGATGAGGATTCCCTTCCGTGCGCTCCCAGCGAAAAAAAATACAACATTCCATATTTGGTATGTATCGCTCTAATTTCGAAAATATCCTGTAGATAATATAATCATCATACCTACACCTATTGGTCAATTATCAAAAATGTACAAAATATCTAATCACCAGCGCCAAAAATCGAATAGGTACTGATAAAAGTTCAAAATATTAGTAATTATGAGACCATTTGACTGTCTTCGATGAATAACCAACCGGTTATCAGTGAGCGGCAAAAAGTAATCAAGGCGGTGTCGCGCTACTTTATGTTCGGTGTCCACGACGTGCCGCTCGATGAACAGCTTTCCACGAATTCTTCAGGTTGATCCCGCCCCTTTCGACGGGGAAGGGATAAGACAGAAAACTGATAGCATTCGAATAATTTCGAGTGGCATATGGCCTCTTAACGGCCTCTCACAGATCTTCCCGTTAACGTGAAATCTTCGATGATATCCATATAACACAATGGAGTCATTGTGATATCAAATACGGAAATAAAATTGATGACATACAAAGTACCTCATTGATGTATCGAACACAGTAAAATTGTTTTTGTTGTTTGTTTGTTGTATCATCGTTTCCTATGTGTTTTTGGTTGCTGAATCCGTATCTGGAATTATTAAAAAAAAATCCTAGTTCGTTTTGAGATATTTACAAAAAATTGTGAACTTACGTTCGTTTTATCGGTTTTATTTCCTGATATCAAGTAGGATTTGAGAATTTTGCAACAATGGCTCTTATACTCGAAAGTATTCAGAATAGAATACAAATTTGCGACTTGGCAACATCCATCGGAAAGGAACCTGACTGAGATGTTTATAAGATTGATGAAAGAAACCTCTGATGCGCTCACTCTTCATTTGTTTCGTCATACTGAATTGAATTTCAGGCGATGACGCGGGGTTCACATATTGAATGTTAGATGGCGTGATTCCTAGTGCGGCTCAAGGTAGGTAGAACTTATGATCAACATCAGTTCTACTAACCTGGGTGCGGCTAAATCGCAAAATGTATTCCTTATCCTCATTGGTCACAATTCGGTCACGTGATATTCAATTTGAAATTGTTTCAAAACTTGATCTTCCCGGTGAAAAATTGGTACCTGTAATTTTGGTACGGCACCAGACTAAACTTAGCGAGATTCAGCCACGCTATGTTATATGTTTATCGAAGTAGGCGAAAATCAAGGAATTGTGAAAAAGGAAGGATTGAAGTGCGTACACCAGGTTTATTTCATCAATTTCATAAGTATATGGTGTTTGTTCTGATGCGCTTTTGTTTTTGCCCAAACTTGACGGCGATACACTACATTGAAAATCGCAAGGTTCTTGTCACATCTTATTCACATCTCTAATAGATGTCGCTGTACAACTTCTCTTTGAAATGGAAATAGAAAATCAATTGTCTATCAGAATTTTATTAAACATTATCAAAAATGAACAAACCTACACCATTTCTGTTTTTTTGTCGTTAGTATAAGTGATTTTTATCGCTTGGTGCGCACGAAAGGGAATCCCTAAATGTTCGAAGAACATCGTGCGTACCTAGGGAGGATAGGGAGAGGAGGTAGGTGTTGTTATTTGGTCCAATGGCCATTCAAATATGGTAAGAATATTACAATATCAGCACCTCTTACGGATTTTTTATGAACAAGTACCTTATAAGTGTCGTCAGTTTTTTTTTTCATAGTATTTCACATTCACACTTCCCATTCAGCCTCCCCTGTTGAAAGGAGCACGAGCCGCCACTGTTGAGACACCTTGTGTAAAACAATGTAGTGGTCGACGGAGTTCCATCTGACTCTCTTCTAAATGCTGGTGTTCCGCAAGGATCAATTCTAACACCAACACTATTTCTACTCCATATCAACGATTTGTTGGAAGCAACTTCATGTCCGGAACACAGCTTCGCGCAACGAACAGCGAGGCTCTGGAACACATTGCCAAGAGAGGTGTTCCCCGAGGCATATAACCTCCAGAAAAAGAAGAACACCAATTCCCACCTTATATCCCTTGGTTCTCACGATGTTCTTTGAACACAGGATATCCCTTTTCGTGGGAATCAGAACATTAAAAAAAACAACTTTTCCTATATTCCAGCAAAGGACCGCCTCCTCGATGGCCAGGTCCGCCTCCGGGCCTGCGCGGCGACCACCCCCGATTCCGAGGCAGAGGCTTCGGTCCCGGGGGGCCGCCGCCCCCACCGTTCCGCGGCAGGGGTCCGATGTTCCGAGGCCCGCCTCCGAGGAACCACCCGCCCGGATTCAACGGCCCGCCCAACTTCGGCGGTCCCAATTGGGGCTCGGGCCCGCCGCCACTGATGGGGCTTGGTTTGCCCCCGGGAGGACCGCGGGGGCCGCACGGACCCCCACAAGGTGAATTGAAAAAAATTGATATTGAGGTCAGGTTAGGTCGAGTGCACGATGATCGACCCTGGAGGTAAAAAATTAAAACACAACCTCACTTTTTATTTGTTTACAGAGGAATCAAAGGATTGAAATAGTTTTTCACAATATTTTGGCATACGAATTGAATCGTGTTTTTTGTGCTATTCATTAATTCAAATATGCCTTCTCATTGTGCTGTTGTACAATGCACAAAAAATGCAGCAGCGAGAGACGAAGGATTATGATTTTTCAGGTATTAAATAGTAATCTCATATAGTTTTCAATATGAAATTTTGTCATTCCTTATTAAAATTCCTTCTGCGACTTCTGCAATAGAAGCTAATTCTGCTAATAGATTGAAAATGTCTACAACACACACGATCATATTTCGTCAGCATGTCGGACCAGTCCTCCCGTTTGATTTCACGAGTATTTCTATTAGCTCCTATTGCAGAAGGAATTCTGATGAGAAATCAAAATGAAAACTATATGTGAGTGACTATAGTAGGTACTTACTTTTAAATCATAATGTACCAACCGGATTCCTTCGTCTCCCGCTGTATTTTTGGTGCATTGTACAACAGCACAAAGTGATGGCATGTGCGTTTTAATGAATAGCCAAAAAACATGATTCCCATGCCAAAATAAGTGTGAAAAACTATTTCAATCACTTCTAAACAAATAAGAAAATTGAGGTTGTGTGTTGTGTTACCATGCACAATGCGGTGAACATAAAATAATTTGAAAGTTTCATTCAGGAGTGTATAATACAGGGTGGGACTACATTAAATATTGCTGAAACTTCTTCCTATGCAGATTTTTTTTGACAATTCAATCTCGGATCGATCAGATGTATCATCTTCGAGAGAAATATTGATGAACTCACATCTTATGCATAACGTTGCCAATTTTCAAATCATAGTGGCTTAAAAAAAATCAAGTACTTTCTTTTTACCAAACAATCTCATAAAAGCGCGAAAAATAAGAAAATAATGATAAAAGGACTACTTCAATTTTTGTGCATTTTTTTCCATTTTCAATACGCCTCATTGCAATGTTAGGCATGATATCTGAGATGTAACAATATTTTTAAATTGCTTTTACTCGAAAATAATACATCTGATCGTCACGGAACAAGAGTACCTTTTTTCGGTAAATAAGTGTGAAATTTCATAACCAGAGATTGAATTGTCGAAAAATATGCAAACAAAGAATTTTGAGCAATATTTAATGTAGTCCCACCTTGTATTATACACTCCTAATTGAACTTTTTGAAATGATTTAAATTTTCACTGCATTCAAGAAATATCATCTTCAGGAGCCCCCTTCCAGGGGGCCGTAGCTCCCTTAGGAGACATTTCTCGATTCATGTTTATTGAAAGTCTTCTTTTTATTTTTGGTAGTAAAAGCCGCTGGTGAAGTTTGGCAGGGTAATTTCGAGACACCCTGTATATATCCATTTATTTGTGTTCATAAATATATCTGAAAATATACCTTTTTAAAGTAGCTCTTTATTTTTTTCAATAACAAGTTTCAATTAGTTTTGCAAAAATTGCCTTTTTTCTTATGTTATGCTTTTGGATTTTTTAAGAAAATAAAGTCAGTTTTTTCATTACATTTTTGAATTTTATTTATGTAAACATTTCACTTTTCGAGAGTGAATTAATTCGAAAAAGTCGGAATCAATTAGAAAAAGTCGGAATCAATTAAAAGAGTTGGACTTTTGTGAAATTTTAATAATAGTCATGACTTATTCCAACCGTGGCTGTGATTGTCATTCCTGAAAATAAATCCCTGTTCTATATTATTCTATGCTATTGAAGGGCCGCCAGGGGGCCAAAACGGACCGGGCAATTCGGCCGGTGGTCCGGCGTCGTCCGGTCAGAACCAGGGACCAGCCGGCGGGCCTGGAGGTCATGCAGCTAATTTGAATAATGCGCCGCCGCAACAGCAGCAGCAGGGTGGTCCGGGAGGTGTGGGGCCTCCGTCTTCTGCTCCCCCTAATGCGGTAAGAATGTTTTTCTACTGTTGCTATGAAAAGTAACGCATTTCTCATAGCTAACTTGGTTTCAAAACCATGTATTGCCCATACTGTGAAAATACTTATTTATTATACAAGGGAAAAAAGTAGTAGATTTTAGCTCCAGGTTGTGTTGTCTCCCGACGTGTAGCGGAGGGAGACAAAAAACCGTGAGCTAAAATCTTATATTTTTCCCGTGTATAATGCACTATTTTTTTCTGTGACAGAAGGAAGGACGAATCAATATTGAGAAGATATTACATTATTTCGAAATCTGAAAATTATCGACGTGAAATTTCAAGTTTTCAACAGTAGGGACACCTGCGTTTTGAAGTAATCAAATATCTGATGTCACTTCTGTCAGTTCAATTCTGTGATTTGATTTTAAAAAATTGCGAATTCAGTAGTTGTTTAGTAATATACGAAACCGCGAAGTCAAATGGAAGATAAAAGGACTTGCAGTTCTTTCTTGGAGACGGTATTATTGAGTCATTTTTCGGAACTATAGCAAAACAAAAGCCATTAACAGAGTATATATATATGTGATATATATCCGGGAAAAAAGTACTCACTTTTTTCCCACGGGAAAAAAGTAATTTATGAAAAGTGACATTTTATAACCTGCCAACAGAGATGAAATGCCAAACTTTTTTCCCGTCACAGAAAAAATGTTTTTTCTCACGGCACTTTGCCAACACCACATACATTTCCATGGAGAATCAACAAAAATCTACCAAAACTTGGCTGCTGTTTAGCTTTGAACAGTTTTCACAACTGTCAGAAGAAGTTTTTTAAAATCTTTAGGGTAGTTCTCATTAGTGCTTTTGATAGAAATAGCATTTTCCATCAAATATTATTTCAACAATTCATAATAAATGTATGATGTGACGATTTTGATGAATACACCGCCAGAGACAGAGATGATGGAAGAAGCTGCAAAAGTTGGATTTATTTCCGGAAATTTCAAGAAAAAAGTATGAACTTTACATTTTCCGCATAGCTCTGGGCTTTCTTTTCGGAACACCCTTCTCTGAAACGAGTATAAGCTGCATTATACAGATTTCTAGATTTCACTGGTAGCAAGTTAAGATTCACTGCAGTAGCAGTATCAATAGTTTCTTGCGGTTTTCCCTCGATTTCTTGTTCCATAACCCTTAACCATTTTCAAAGCTGTTTTCATAAATTTCAGTTTGATATTTGCTGTCACCATGGGTTCTCAACAAGATGCATGTTGTCAAGATACGAATTCCACAAACTATACTACGACTAATTATGACAAAACACTTTGACCAAATTTTTATTCTTCCTTAATTTTTGTGTTTTCGCCAGCGTAAAAAATAGTATATACACCTCAAGACAGAATGCTATTTATTTAATATTTACAGTTGGAAAGATACCCAATTCGTTCAAACCTTCAATCACAACGCCCATTTTCAAATCGGGTGATAAAAAACTCGTAACCAATTATAGGCCCATAACCGTAACCAATAATTTCTCAAAAATTTTTGAAAAATGCATTAAAAATAGGGTGATCCATTTCTGCAAAGAGAATAATATCTTTTCCGATTCACAATATGGGTTCTTAGAAAATAGAAGCACCGAAAAAGCAGTATATGAGGTTGTCAGCCAAATAAATGAGTGCTTCCAAAATAATGAGAAATGTATAACTGTGTTCCTGGACTTGGCTAAGGCATTTGATACCGTTGATCACAAAATACTACTCCAGCGTTTGTCTGACACAGGGATAAGGGGTATTGCAAGGGATATTTTTGAGGATTATTTGACAAATAGATCGCAAACAGTTAAAGTAAATAACTCACTTAGTAACCCACTACCAATAACCAGAGGCGTACCTCAAGGAACTGTACTGGGACCGATTCTATTCCTGATATACATTAATAATATATTTAAGATACCTGACTTCAATGGCAGAATAACGTCATTTGCTGATGATACAGCCATTACTTTTTCTGGGAAAACGTGGGAAGAGGTTTATATACAGACTGAAACAGGTGTCAAAATGATTTTCAACTGGCTGAGTGATAACTTACTGAGCGTCAATGTGAATAAAACAAAATTTATTGCATTTTCCTCAACTCATAGGGACCAACCAAATAAAAATAGAATACAAATACATAAATCATCTTGTACGAACGTTAATAATTGCAACTGCTCTTCTATAAATAAAACTGACAAAATCAGGTACTTAGGAGTGATATTGGATCAATGTCTTCGTTGGAACGAACATATTGAGTACAACGCAAATAGGCTTCGTAAAATAATCTATAAGTTCTACCATCTTAGAAACGTACTCAATAAGAAAATGATATTGACTGTGTATGATGCCTTGGCCGAGTCCATAATACGTTACTGCATAATAGTGTGGGGGGGTACTTTCAAGTCTTCTCTATATAATTTAGAAAGGGTCCAAAACTCATTGATAAGAATCATGATGAAAAAAGATCGGAGGTATTGTACTCAAACGCTATACGAAGAGACTGGGTTATTCGGTGTGAGGAAACTCTATACTTTCCAATGTTTATTATGGACTGCTAGCTCGCAAACGACAATTGTTCAGCATGCATATAACACTCGTATTTGTGAAAATCAAACCATAAATGTCCCACGTTGCAGACTCACGCATAACCAAAAATTCATCACATATATCGGACCAAAACTTTACAATGCTCTGCCCGTTTCGTTGAAAAATATGAAAAATTTAGTCAAATTCAAAATTGAATTGAAAAAATTCGTTAATAACAAATTTGAAATGCTTGAATTGTTATTACTTGGCATCAGATGAAAAATATTTACTCTCATTGCTCTCACAAGCAAACGTTGTTTCTCTTATCCTCTCTTTGTCTCCCTTCTCTCTTCCTCTTGTACTGTCTCTTTCACTCTATAAACTCTACCTATTTATTATTATATATTATATTTAAATAATACCTTATAGTTATCGAAATTATATGCTAATAGAGGATTAGGATTACTAGTTTGGCTGCTGGCTACAGTACAAGCTTGCTTAGGTAGCCACAACCTAATCTGTTCTCCTACAGAAATACCAATTTTGATTTATTTATTTATTATTATTTTTTTGTTATTTGCATATTTTTACTATTCGTCGACTATGTATCGTTATATATCTGAATGGAATAAATTACTTACTTACTTACTTACTTACTATTTTCCCCTCGGTGCTTTGTATCTCTCGGGCTTCGTCCTCGACCTACAAATCGCACCTTGGAGAAAAGTCTTGCATTTCTGTCCCCTATTGCATCGTGATTTTTTTATTCATACTGTTTTTTTTCTTAAATATGAAAATGGTGAACGCGAAAATCACTAATAATTTTCTTTATTTTTCTCTATTCGCCATTTGTTGTCGAGATTTACAGTTAAATAATTGCCTCGGCGATGTACAAAAAAGAAAACCTCTGTAGACATGAAAATATTCGCCAGAACAAGAACATTCCTTCATCATGTGCGGTTGACGCGAGACTGATTGGTTCTTAACTTATAGTCGGCCCATACGTTCATATATGTCAATTTCACTTTGCGTTTTATATCGTCTCATGTTCAAATAATTGTTGGGGAGCATGTTGTCAAAAGAAAGCTGAAAAATCTCGAACTAGTGGTAGAAAAAATACCCAATTATCATTATTATTCCATGTAGGTAATACAGGGGTTTGATTTGAGGTTTGCTTTACGTTTTTAGATTAGATTCATCTTCCTTTTGGTTAATTTGTTTCCAAACCTGTTGCCAAATCAGATCATGTTTTGATAAAGTAATTTGAAGAGAGAGAGAGAAAAAATCCCTATTGGGGAATTACCCAAAATGCTATTGACCAAAGTCTTTCAGCCTATTTACAAATTTATACATTATGATGAAATATATAAATCTAATCTAATAGTAGTTTGAAATATTTACAGTTTCAATGTTTCTTCTAGGGATTGGACTCGAATTCTGAAATATGGGTTGAAACAAAAACAGGAGAGGGTAAGTCATATTACTACAACGCCAGGACCAGAGAGACTACATGGACGAAGCCAGATGCACCAAATGTCAAGGTAATTTCACAGGATCAAGTGGAGGCCATGGCGCATGCTGCAACTACAGGTACCATTGCGCAGAATACTTCGACTGCTGCCCAGGCAGCTCTCGCCCAAGCTAGCGTCACTAACAAACAGGAAGGTGAGTGAAAACTTGGATAACTCAATTTCAACATTTCATGACACTGATTAATTTATGTGGTATATTCACAACATGACAGTTTCAAGGAAGACCCAGTTTGAAACTGTTACATCATTATATTGTGCCCACCAGTTATTTTATATTTAAATCCATTTAGTCATTTTAAAGTTGTTGAATATTGCTCAGTCAGAAATGGAGCATATGTCTTGGTTTACCCTGTTATTTAATGTCTATATTATTTGAATTTCAACTCATTTCCATAAAGTTGTGGAGATGATTTTGGGTTGTGTGCATAATCGCTAGAACTCACATAGCCGATGGTAAAATCATGCATAATATCCTTCCAGTTCATTAACATTCTCAAAACCAAATTTGATATCACTTTTTGTTTCTTCCATATTCAAACCCTATATTCTATATTTCAGGAAAATCAGCGAAAACAATTTTTTTATTTTTTCTAAAACTTGAACGGCGTTTATCATGAAAAATATTGCTCGGACAAAAACTTTTTATGAGACTTTGTTGTGTAGAATTATCTCGTCTTTTATTTTGTACACAGGTATATTTGTCATAAAATCAATATTTACCAAGAGAAATCAGACAAACCGTTTTACGCATCTTCAGATTGTTGCCAATAATTGTGCGTACACTCTATCATAGGAGACTTGTGAGGAGAGATTAAGGACACCAATATATACCCGAAAACGCACTAAAACCTTTTGTATGAATTATTCTGCACTAAGCGATAAAAAAAATACTAATTTCAGGGGACTACATCTTCATTGAAGTCAATCAATCAGTTTATTGAATTACTAATGAAATCAGCTTCCAAAAAAATTGAACATTAGTCTCACTAAACTCTCTGATATTCATATTTTTTCATCAAATTATTTGATAATGGGTTCAGCAAAGATTGAGTAGTACTTGACCATTGTAATTTTTCACACATGTTGGAGAGATATGTATGTCTTTTTGGTTGTCTGGTAATTTGTCACGTGACTCAATAATTGTTGATGTTCTATTCATCAGCAAACTGGAGGAAAGGCAAATAATGACAGTTGAGGATAGGATAATGAGGTATCCCCATTAAGGTTTCGGCAGTATTTGGCGTTTCTTTCACCAATTTCTCCTGGAAGATATCCAGTTTGTTTCGCTTTTGATTGGCCACCGTCACCTTAGACATAATACAAAACTGTAATAAAATAGAATAGTTTTTATGTGTTGATGAACAATCGAAAAAGAGACCACTAAAGAGAACTTTTGTGTGTGGGTTGTTTGATTAAAAACATTCAAACAGATCAATAATTTGTAGTAGATGATGTTATGATGAATTATGAATTGTACACAATGGGCTAATGGACTATTTTTTAAATTATTTTTTAAATAGAATCATCCCTCAATTACCTTTCAATTCAATTTTTTTTGCATTTCCATCAACACTTCTATCACCCTAAGGCCGACCGACCCTCTCGAATCCCTGACCGATATGCTCAGCGGTTCTAAAACTTTTTTGGTGACGGAACCCTTTTAAAGAACTATATTCTTCACGGAAACCTTATTTCTAAACTGAAAGCAAAACTAGTTTTATGTGTATTGTTTTTATAATGATAATACAAAAATGGTATAGAAACACTAAGTAGTAAGTAAGTAAACAAATTATAAAACCAAGTTCATTTAATGTTAGACTTGAAAGAATATAGTTAAGTTATTCTCATGTCTGATGTCTGGTATGGCATCCAGTTAATTGCGATATTTTGTTATTGTAGCTGCATATGCTGAAAATCCTGTTCCACAAGTATGTTGTTGGGAACGACAGAAGAAAATTCAAAGCCTATGTGTCAAGTTGTGGATATTCATCAAGAACACTGTACCAAAAATCATTCACTTGTTTTTGACTATTTCACATATCTGAACAATCCACAAGCCAGAGACAACGTGTGCTTATCGCGAAACATGAGCTGTCTTTCAATTCTGATTGGTCTGACAGCGTTCATGTTTTCAAAGATGTAACCATGGATAACAAATCAAAGTCTGGATGTAACCATGGATAGCGAAGCAGAGTCTGTCAGTTTGGCATTAAATAATTGAAGGGACCAAGTAAAATTTTCTGAAAATATTCGGTTATGTCATGGAAGAAGGTGTTACGTGCATATGTAACTTGCCTGTTAGGATTTGTTTCTATACTTCATATCTGAGTAGATACACAGTGGCAGAAGGGGCTATGTTACACTGAACATCAAGGACGCAATGGAAGGAGCTATGTGCCCATTATCTACATGTCAGGAGATGGGAGAAGGGGTTATGTACGCATGAATCCATATGTATATCGAAAAATGATATGATAGCAGAATGCGGTAAATCATAAAAAACAACCTAAAACTATTCCTCACAATTGCATAAATCAAATTATTAAACTAGCTTTCATTAAAAAATGCCAGCTAACTTTACTAAAACCTATTTTTCTCACAAACTCATATTTGTAACATAACTCCTTCTTCCACTTGCCCCTTCAATTATGGCTGTACTTGTCAGAATAAATCACTCATTTATAATAAATGCTTTTTATGCTTCGTGAACGTGAAATAGTCTAGAAAATACCACTCTGTTCTGAATATCTTCTCATAATTCTGCCTTTCATTGTTAACTCAATTGTGTTGCCGTACAGCAAGACCACTCGTCCTGATGGATTCGTGGTGTTGGTCGGCAACATATCTGATTTGAGATATTTTGTCCCTCAGGAAAGTAAGATTCAAAAGTCGCACAATCTTCCACGAACATTATAGGAATTTCCTTTCCTGCGCTATAAGACATAAAAAAAATGTTTAATTTTTTTGTATCACTGAAACTAAGGTGACTTAGGAACCCATTTAGCACTTATCAGACTTTGGGGAGTACCGGGGCTCCGCGGAGCACTCTTTGAGTAACGATGTGCTAACGAAACAATGTCCTATGTCAGACCCTGACGATCACAAACAAGAACCGCCGAAGCAACCCATCCCCACCGCCGCCGCATCGGTGCTGCCGCCGCACGCCCTCCTTGGACCGCCGCCCGGCATGTCGCCCTTCGGCGGCCCGCCCGGGCAGTTCGGCGCACCGCCCTTCGGCTTGCCGCCCCCTGGATGGCCGCCAATGGGGCAGCCGGGGTGGCCGGGACCGCCGCAGGGGGCGCCGTGGGCGATGCCTCCAGGGTTGATTACAGGTGAGATTGGGCATCGATACGGAGTCTTGGTTCATTTTCGAATCAGGATTTCTAACTGTTCCTGTATAGGACGACTAAATCGGCTGAATTTATCATTTCATCAGTTACATAAGCGCAAATCATATTATATACAGTGTGTTCTGCTTTTCATGAATACACCCTGATATCTCAGTTATTATTTATACCCCTCAACATCGCACGCCAATGGTGAATGAAACTGTTCATTCTGATAAATACTTCCTTATTCCAACATACAATCACTAGAAAAATTTCAAGAGAATCGCACCATTAATAACAGATATCAGGGTGTATCCATGAAAAGCAGGATACACTGTATACTGGCACTAGAATGCCAATGCAATAGATCAAAAGTGCGTTGAAAGGTATGGGCCGATCTTCAATGAGCATGTGCAGAATTAGGTTCATTTTGAAAAGTGCTGGCTTAAGAAAAAGCATTTTACCTACTGTTATTAAGGCTGTGAATATGATGAATACAATACATGTCAGGATATTTGAATCAGCTGTGTATGCGACTCAGCAATACAATGAATATCTTACAGGTTATAGGTGCTGAATTAAGTAAAATTTTAACTTACATGAACAATGATTCAAAAATGGGTCTCAACCAATTGGACTATTACTTTTTTCTCTGCCAAAGTGCATATTTTATGATAATCCTCCAATTGTGATGTGACTAACCTTTCATGATGAATATAATCAGCCCTTCTTACAGTAATTGTGGGACTGAATTTGTTTCTACTTGCATTAAATTTCCCTTAGAATATACATATATATTTTCTTGGCGGAAATGTTTACTGCAAATAGCAGTTTTATCAAGAAGAGCAAAAGAGCACTTCTGTTGTGGGATCTCTTCCTAGAGCGTTCATCCAAGAGCTATGTCTTGTTTTAGTCGATCCAAAATTTGACTATCAAAAACTCAATGAGCATAAACCTAGACTCTTACGAAAAATAATTAACTTCCCCTTGTTCTTGCAGCACAACACTAAACAAGAACTCATTGTTGATGCTCATCAAGATTGTACAAAAATAATACTTCTGCCAGCTGCGATCACTAGTACTTCTAAACTTATCAGCTTTCAAACACACATGTACAGAAACTAACAAATATATTGCCTTCTGGAAAGGTAATCAAAGAAAGAACAATGTAGAAAATCTGACAAATCCTTATAGAAAAAGTATTATGAAAACTCAAAATTAAAACTTTCTCTGCAAAATGCGAATGACAATGAACAATGTCAGTTGTCATCAGGAATAAGTGTCAAGGTTGCCGAACTTACCTGATAGTAATCAATCAACTTTTACATCAACAGTTCAAATGCAAAATAGTAGTACAGTATTTATGTTCATTCACAATTATGTAGAAACGTTTGAAATATCTGGTCTAATCTCGATCAAAATAGTTTTATAAATAACTTCTCTGAAAATCTGGCAACGTTTAAGTTCAAGGAATTTCGCTGTGAAACTTGATGGGAATAGGCATTCTAGTGTCAGTATATAATATGATTTATTTGGCTCAACCTCACAGATCAGGTAATACAGATCCTATGAGTCAAAATCGAAAAATATGCCAATCCATGTCCAAAGCCATAAAAAATAGTAAAAATTTGAAAATGACATCATAAATAATTTGAAACATATGTCTTGAACGTCCTGATGTCGAATCCGAAGTGATTTTCAACCTACCTTGCCTTATAATATCACTTTCTGGAAATGTGGTCGGTTCCATGGCTGTTGGTGAGCAGTGTATATCACTGAGGATGACCCCACTTGGTCATAGAGTGTATCTTTGGTATATCTCTCGCTCCTGCAAATTTCAGAACTTACTCAACAATCACGTAAAATACAGGAATGCTTCCATTAGAAGTGAACAAATTTACTCTTTTCTTGAAATTTATTCTCATAAATTAATGTGATGGAGATATAAGTATAAGTATTGATGATATACTACAGAGAGTGAATCTATCAACTCTTGAAAAATGGAAGAACACACAACGTGGTTTTTATTTCATTTTTGAGCTTCTAGATGGATACAGAGCTACTGCTAAAAATTAACTGAAAAATTCTTGAAATATTTGGTAGATCCGTTGATTCCTTTAAAAATTATAACAATGGAATGATATATAGATGAGGAAATGTGTCTCTTCCTTTATTTAATTAGTACTGGTATCAGACAGTTCTTTACATTATTCAACCTATAACTTTCTCATTTTCCACTGTATATTTGGTAATACTTAATTTGCTTATATTTAGAAAAAAATTACATTAGTACAACTTTACTGTTTCTCGAATCTTATATTATTCTCAAAGACGTTTTCTCGCGGAGTAGGGTTCATTGGTTATGTAGGAAGGTACATTTTCTTCATCTATAATTTGTTCCATTCATTCAGGAATGCCAGGTGCCATGGCAGCCATTGATGAAGCTGCTATTATGTCTAAAGTCGATCCAGAAATTATCGCTAGAGCCTCTGAATGGACTGAACACAAAGCACCAGATGGCAGGTTTTATTACTACAATGCCAAGAAGGGAGAGTCTGTTTGGGAAAAACCACAACCACTGAAGGATCTAGAGAGTAAGTGCTACATTACTGATAACATTATTCAAAAAGAAAATTGACTGTTCCAAAATACACACGATGTTCTTCAAATATCATAGGAATTTCTTTTCGTGCGCTTCAAGAGATAAAGAAATGTATATTTCGGCGTCAAACAGTGAAATCCGTCATTCCCTGAAATACCTAGTCATTTCATGTATTGTCGGCAAACTCTAAATTTCGTACACTGTTTGCCGAATTTTAGGCATTCCCTGTAATGACGGAAGGAAGGTTATCATTTAGGCCGAGTCAGGTTAGGTTGTTTAGAAACATAATTCTCATTTGTTCTCTCAAGTAATTTTCAGAAAAATATACTTTCTTGGAAAAAGATTCATTTAGACCGAATTTGGTTAGAATTTGTTTGGGAAAAGTAGTCTCCTCCTTTATGCTTATGCAGAAAGTATATTTTCAATCCTTCTGGCAAACATAGTAACGGCTGAAAATGGAAGTTACGCTGTTTGACGGCAATACGTGAACTTTTGTCATCAAGGCATGAGCCTTCTTGATAGCATTTTCGAAAATTACTCCAACAAATGGATGCAATTGGAGATATTTCAACATATTAAGATCAATCTATAAAAATATCACAAAATTTTAAACAAAATGAAACAAGGAAAGGTCAGTGGCTAGTTAGTTTCAAATCAAACATCCTTCTCAATTTATCTGACTGACAACTTCTTTTCTTAACCTTATATTTCAAGTTCCTTCCATATATGTCGCGAACCCTATTCAAACCTCTAAATTTTACCGTCGACTTGTGATTTTTCAACTGGTATATTTCGATAATCGTACTCATTTGAATCTCTTCAACGGCTATTCTAGGTTGCTCAAAGAATTGAGTGGACCACTCGAATTTTTGACGTTTTTTAAAATGCGATAACTTTTTTGCAAATCAACCGATTTTTTGTTGCCAAGCTATTCAAACTAGGAGAAAACTTATCAATTCAAAAACTTTTATCATATGTGGGCTTCATTTGTTCCCCTATATGTATGTAAAACTTATCAAAAATAAAAAAAGTTTATCGATTGGTGCATTTAGTAATACATAAAATTTGAATTCTATGCTTTCCTGATCTTTAGGAAATCAAAATAGCAAGACAGTGCTACTGTGTTGCCTATAATCTACAAAAAAAGCACTTTGATAACTTCATTAGTTATAGAGATATGACGGTGGGATTGATTGATTGATTAATAGCAGAATGATCAGTCAGGGTTCAAAGCCCAAAACACTGCAGCCTTTGGGCCTATTGTATTCCTGATCATGCTGTTGACTTAGGTGAACAGGTTCGCTACCTTGATAAGGTTTAGCAGCCTCTTCACCAAATCATTCGTTGGAAAAGCCTGTTGAGAGTTGCTCCCAGAAGGTTGTATCTCCAACGCGCTAGTGCTTTGCACTCCAATATTACATGGGTGGCAGTTTCCTCCTCATTGCATAGTCTGCATATGGGTTCGTCTGTATAGATGCCCATTTGATGCATATGTTTCCTCAAGGAGCAGTGACCGGTTATTAGTCCCGTTACTTGTCTGATCTGACTTCTGTTTAGGCTCAGAATGTCGTTAGTCACTGTTCTGGGCAGTGTTCCAACCATCAGTTTACTGTGTTTTTGTCCTGGGACTTCCAGTATGCCTGATGTCTTCCTTGCATCCACCTTGCAAACCCGCCGCGTATTGAGGTTTTGGGGATACCGAACACAGGTTCCGGTCCCATAAACAACGCCGCAGACCCTTGCCTAGCAAGAGCGTCAGCTGCTTCATTGCCTTCAATTCCCTTATGCCCTGGCACCCATTGAAGAGTTACCTTGTTGTGGTTAGCCAGGGTTAGCAGACTTTGAAGGCAATCCCAGACCAGTTTTGATCTGATTTTATTGCATGTTAAAGATTGAAAGGCCGCCTGACTATCTGAGCATATGAGTATTTGTTTACCTCTGTATCCTCTTAGGATATTCTCTCTCAGACATGCCTCGATAGCATGCACCTCTGCCTGGAATACTGAAGCATACCTCTCCAAGGAAGCACAAATCCTGGTTCTGGGTCTATCTCCATATATTCCGGCTCCTGTACCCTCATCAGTCTTAGAACCATCAGTGTACCACACTAACGTGCCTTCCTGACAGTTAGTCAAGACCATTTCATCCCAGTAGAGCTGAGTGTTGAAGGGTCTGTAATAGTTATTTCTAGGCAGCATTTTGTCACTTCCCATTTTCATTAGTGGGCTTGAAACTAGGCTGATTATTTTTGTATGTCCCAGGGAGTCACCCCTAGCATGCCAGTTACCGCTACACTCCAGTCTGTGTGCCCCCATCCGGTGGGAACAAAGAACAACAATGTTTTTGAAGTAATTTTTTTTTATATTTTTTCTAGTTTGAAAAGTTCCAGACCACTGAAAAATGTCGTAGAATACAATTTTATATTCCTTATGTCATGCTCAACAAATCCTACCATGTTTGACCTGGTTCTATGCAAAAAAATGAAACGACATCTCGAAATCACTCCACTATTTCTCTCTCTCTATCCGCAGCAGCGAAACTGGCGGCGGCTCAGGGTATCTCGACCCGCCCCCCCGCTGCTGCGATGTCGGCCACCGACCCCCCGCCCGACTCAGGTAAGACGAACGGGCAGGGCGGGCCGGGCGGGCCGCCGACGGCCGTCGTCGTCGTGAACGGCGACGTTGCCGCCGCCTCCGCCGCCGCCGTGGCGGCCGAGGAGGAGAAGGAGTCGACGGCGGAGAAGATCAGGCGGCTGCAGGAGGAGATCAAGCGGAAGAAGGAGGAGGAGGAGAGGGCGAGGGAGCTGAAGGCGCAGGACAAGTCGCGGCCGGTGTCCAGCTCGCCCGTTTCGGGAACGCCGTGGTGAGTTGAAGTGGTTTTTCGCATATACCTATTGATTAACTATATGGATAATATTGAAAAATTAATATTCTCAGATATATCATGATGAATAAATTCGCTACTGGGGGAGTGAATGATTTTTCTGAAAATTCGCGAAACACGTCAACGTTTGAATGTATTTACCTTCATTTGAATAATCTCTTCTCATGTTGAAAACGGGAGCAGAATCGGTCCCGAAACGTCCAAAGATAAGTGAAAATTTGATATTTTTTCTATATACCTTTATTTCTCTTCTTCAAACTTTTTTCAATACAAATTGTCACTGACAAGCTAGTGAATTTTTCTTTTAGGCTCTCTGATAGGAAAATTCTTCAAACGTAGTGACATTTTGGGGCAAATCATCTGATTTGTCATTACTACACGTATATTGAAATGATATTTATATTTTTATTTTATAGAAGCGAGGAGAGAAAGTCCCAGAAAGTTTGGAATGAAGAAAAGTAGTAGATTGACTGCCGCGGCTGATAGTTCATAGCCGAGCGTAGCGAGGCTAGGAATTCAGCCAAGGCAGTAATTCTACATTTGCTGCCGTGTGAAACATAGAATTTTTTCTCCAAATGATATAAAACCGATTTTGTGTAATTTTTTAATTGGAAACTCTATCATTTTGTGTTCACTCAATGTGAGTGTCAATTTTGATTACTAATTTCATTAGAATTTCTTGGCACGTTGCATAGCAACAAACTTTCTCTGCCTAGGGAGTAAAAGTACAATTTTTCTGCCTGTTAAGCGGCAGAAAAAAGCCACTATCCCTGCCGCTTGTAGGAAAACGATTTCTTTAAATACTAAATCGCTATTCACGGTGTCTAATGTCTATGGTCTGTGCTAGGGTGCAATTGAAGAATGTTCACATTATTTTCAGGTGTGTGGTTTGGACTGGTGACGGCCGCGTTTTCTTCTACAACCCGTCATCGAGAACGTCCGTATGGGAGAGACCGGAAGAGTTGTTGAAGCGGACCGACGTCGATAAGATGGTGGCCAGCCCTCCAGACGCCCTCGTGAACGCACCCAAAACCGAAATGCCCAAATCGCCGCAGAAAAAACGATCGTCTGACGATAGCGACAGCGATGTGGAGGAGACTCCCATCAAGAAAGCCAAAATGGATGATCCCAATGCATCACAGCCAAGTAAGTTCAAAGGAGATAGAATAGACCATTTTACGCTGAGTGCTGATTTTGACATATTGAATATCATTATTTGATTTTTCCTTATTGGCAACATTTATGATTTTGTCATTTCACAAAATGTTAAAATTTTGTCACGTTCAGTGCTGTCATGTCAAGAAAATGTTGGTTCACATTCAAATCCGAAATTTCGAACTTTCCTTGAACTTGTTCATTACTCAAGAAGAAACTTAGTAAACTATCACAATAATCAATATGAGAAGTAATGATTGACTTGTGAATTGTTAATTTTGTGAATTTAGATACTTTAGACTGCATGTTGGATAACTTCTAATGTGTGGCCTACGTGAATCACTCTGAATATAAATACCATGTTACATGTTGAATTTTTGGATTCTAGGTTTAAATGGCTCGATGACTGCAGCGAAAAAAATCGACATTGGCAAAGAGGCGGCCATAGAAGCGGAAGTGCGGGCGGCCAAAGAACGCGCCGTCATCCCATTGGATACCAGAATCAAGCTGTTCAAAGAAATGCTGACCGAGAAGCAGGTGTCCGCTTTCAGCACTTGGGAAAAAGAACTGCACAAGATCGTGTTCGATCACAGATATTTGTTGTTGACATCCAAGGAGAGGAAACAGGTGTTTGAGAAGTATGTGAAAGAGAGGGCAGAGGAGGAGAGGAGAGAGAAGCGGAACAAGCTGAGGGAGAAGAAGGATGCGTTCAGGAAATTATTGAGCGAGGCTAGTCTGCATGGCAAGTGAGTACGATTTACATTTTTGTGGTATTTTCAAGGGGTATCATTGACCTGTAATCTACACGCTTATTCAATTTTTTTGATCTGATGTTTTGGAATAATCTTTTGGCGTTGTGGGATATGAAAATACTGGAATTGAATCAGCTTGGAATTAAAATTGAAGAGCAAATTCATCTTGATAATTGAATTTTCCGTTTGAGTTACCTTCAACATCTCATTTTATGATTTTATGCTCTTCAAAGAGTGTGTACATGCTTGTCACTAACACTGCAAAAAGTTCGCGATTGTAATTTTCTGACATCACCCGAGGTATCTAGATTATCAAATATTAGAATATTAAAAGTAACTCTAATATAAGGGTACAAACATGCCAAGATACACACACATTTGTCCCTATGAGACCGCACAAACCAAGAATGTTTCACCTGCTCACCCTGGCTGCCTATCATTGCTGTTTTCAGCGATGTCGATGCCAGAACAAAATAGTTTGTTTAACATCGCGATCGAGTTGTTCATGGCACGTTTATTGGTGATTTTCAAACCATGTGATATTCGCCCGTGGTAAGGATGGTATTTATTTATTCATTCATTTCTTGTTGTAAACAGGTTCCCAGAAGTTTGGGTTGTTTATTTCGTTGATGTTAGGCAAAAATCGGGTTTTTATGATAGTTATTATGATTTCAATGTTCAATGTTATTTTCTAGGTTGTCCCAACTGAAATGAAATACTCATACTCATATAAGCATAACATCAGTGTGAGTGAGGATTTTTAATCTCTTAAATAGGTGATGGTATTCTCCTAGATACTGACTTTCTTGTTTTAGAGCTTGGTTTATAGGATGAGCCGAAAACTGGCGATTGAAAGAATCACAAATGATCCACCACCTTTCACTTGAAGACATACAATCACTGTCGTCGCTACTGTTTCTTCTTACATAGTTTTATGATTGAAAAAAGCAGACTTTCCCACAACACGTGTCTCAGTCACCCCAAAAACCGCGAGAAACACTGAAAGGGAGTCATCATCAGTATGTTCTGCTTGTCATCAATGTGAAACTGGGCCGCGACCTCCACCGCGCATATCCATGTATCGTCGGCATGTTTGTACCCTACAAAAATGGACTAGCGAAAAACTTTTGAAATTGTCACATTTGGAGTTCAAAATTGTTACAATACAGAGTGTTCCATTCAACAATCCCGGTGAAACCGGAATTGATCGAGATCTGCAAAATATGCCAAAACTCTCCTCTTCACATACCATTTACCTAACAAGCCTCATTTTCAAACACATACTATTCTAGAAGCTACGACTTGGATCCAGGGTTGACTTGGAATGTTCATATCCATTATCTAAGCTCCAAGCTGTCCAAAATAACTCTCCTAATAAGAAGCCTTTCAAAATATATATTCAGGGACACCCTACCGTCGGCTCATATCAATTTTGAACTGGGGTCATTCCCCCTATACTGTTCAAATCTTTAAATTACAGAGACGTGTCAGAATTATCACAGAATTTAAATATCGAGACTTGTAGAAATAGTTTTGCAAAACTGATACTCCTTACACTTCCATGTACTTTTATGAACCTACATAAAACGGAACCTAGTAAACTTCAGATCACATAGTGATATTCACTCATATTCAACTAGAAATATTGATGATTTACTCCTCAGCTACCAAAGGTTAGGAAAGTACAAGAAGGGGCGCCGATTACTGCTCTTCCAATAGAGATAAAAAACCTATATTTTAACTATTTCAAAACCAAATTCAAAACATATCTTTTAAAAAATGCCTTCTATTCCATGGAAGAATATCTAGAGAGTGATTTTCATATGTAAATATTTTCGACTCCATATTTTATTGCTTCCATTTGTATCTCATCTAATAAGCTTTCCCCTACTATTGTTTTTTTTTATACAATTTTATATCAATTGTATCATTCTTTCTCATTTTTTTTTAAATCTCATCTGTAAAAGCACTTAAGTGTAATACTTTGCCAATAAATAAACTAAACTAATATATTCCTAGACTCCCGGTATGATGGTTGACCTGACTTGGCTCGTCTATCCTCCGACTTTTATAACTCGACGAAGTTTTTTAACATGGATACGAAATATTTGGTCATTTTTCAGGTCTTCATTTAGTGATTTTGCACAAAAGTGCGCGAAGGATGAACGGTTCAAGGGTGTGGAGAAGATGCGTGAACGTGAGAGCCTCTTCAATGAGTATCTCATAGAGGTTAGAAAGCGGGAGAAGGAGGAGAAGAATCAACGAAGAGAATCGGTAAGTAGTGGCTTCTACCATTTGGTTCTTTTTTTTTGGAAACAGCTGGTTGTGACTACATAAGAAGAATTCAGTGGGCAGTTCAAGCGTTTTTGATTATTGCTGAACTTGATTTTTGGCAAAATCCACATCACTAGGATATCATTCATAAAGTCATTGAATTTAAGAACAAAATGTGACATTTTAATGTGACATTGAAGCTAGAGTAGAACAAGACTAAAAATAATCTCAACTGAATTAGTAGATCTAGTGATTAAATTGGGAAGTTTCCTGTATTGATGTTTTTTCTCTGAGTTAATGAAACGTCATTATAAACGTATTTTTCCATAGACTCAGATTTTACTTTTGAAAAAAAAAATCGAAGTATTAGTTTCGGCACCTTCACCATTCTACTAACTGTTAGGTTCACACAGAGCTAAACGCGATTTTGCTATCGCGACTGCGACGTTGCCGTTTCCATTCATATGTATGGGGGATTCAGAAGTGAATATACTGCTATGAAGGTAGATATTTTTGTAATCCTGATTTCCTGGTTAGTCAAAACATATGAACCAAATTTTTCAATTAATAGTTCAGATGCCTGATAAAATATCAAATGTAGATGAAACATATGAATATTTCATTAAGAAAAAGAGTTAATTCATTGCTCATAATTGGAATCTTGTAATAGTCAACATTGAATGGTGACTTTAAAGAGTTTGGAGTGCATTTTTCATTGTTTTCAATGATTTAGTTGATTATATCTGGCATCGCCCCCTGTGTTTTTATTGAGATTATGTATTCATTGTTTCCTGTTTATTTCGTTGTTCATAATTACATGCCCTGTGTTCCTTAAATCATTTGTTGATTGTGATTGCTAATAGAAATGATTTGATATATTTCAAGGAAGATATTGGAAATCCTAGATTACTAAATCATAGAGCTAATCAGTGTAAAACTAATTTGATAAAAATCCATCAGGAGGAAACTTCCCTATTGTTTATACTTTCAAAAAATATATATTAAAATTCAAAATCTTATGCCTTCAAACAATGATACACCTCATACCAATGATTTGGTATTTTATTTAGTGATATTTTTAGCTATAATGTTATTTCTGATATTTAAGGAAATTATTTTGTGGCACTTCTTGAAGGCAAATTGCTCAATACCGAAAAACTTCAACGACAATAACACACTTCCAGACATTAAATTTCAAAAACATATTTTGTTGCACATGACCGACGAAATAGTTGCAAACTGGGGTAAAACCTAGGTTGGTGACATTTATTATTCATTTTGGAAACTCATGATATTTCCTATACAGGATGTATCAATAATTTTGTGTGAAGATTCAATTATTTGTAAATAGAATTCATTTTGAATTTCTAACTTTTATTTAAAGAAAATCCATAGTAATCTGACTTTATCAAAACTCCTTTTCTATAGAATGTCAATGCTTTGAAATTTCTTTGCCAAAGGGAGTATTTCAGACAAGTCATCTTTTGTCCTTACTACAAATTTATTCAAACAATATTCATAGCTTAGTTTATAAAAAATGCAAATAAGATCGTCAGAAATTTGGAGATATGAAATTTCTCAATAACACATAAGAATTTTTCAACTTTGATGCCATGTAACTTGAAAATTTCTGCACGGTATCTACTCTTGGTTTTTCATGATATTGATATCGTGGATATTTCCATATATTTCCCTGAAATAGAAAAACCTGCAAATATGGCATATTGCAAATTGTTGCATGAAGGATAAGGTCAGAAAATTTCGTTATCAAATTTTTACACTATTCTAAGGTTTGTTAGGCGGATTTGTTGAGACTTCTATTTGCCAAAAAATATCCTCTGATCATTCTGACTTTTGTTATGTGCTATTGAATACAATTTGAATTATATGTGAAATTTTACTACCAAGTTTTATTACCAAGTCAAAAATCTCTTAGTTAAAGAAACTATTTGAACTTCAACTTCAACCCATACACATATTGTTCTACGGATTGTTTGTTCTATAATTTGGCATCGTTTTCAGTATAATATTGTTGAAGTACATGGACTATCTAAAATAATGCAAAGAAGTTGAAAGTAATTAGCATAAAAAAATCCATGAATATATCTCAAGAAGCCAGTATCTCTAAAATCATTTTGATCAAATGACAACAGCACATAAGGATGAATATGGTTCTGAAGTTTCAGTACGACCCCGACTATCATTCAAAGTAAAAACTTTTGATGTATAATATTGGTATAGACAGGTTTGGTAGCGCTGCTATCCATGCCTTCTACTTTATTCTGGAATATACTATAGGATATTATTGTGCCATGTTAGCCGTGAATACAGTGATAAGCTGATTTAGTACCGACTTTAGTATCCAGTTATTCATATTACTCACCCTGTATGTAATTATACATTTTTCGAATTTAAATGAAGAAGTCTTAAATGCGATTTCTTCCGATGGACTTGTCGGTGCACTGGAAACAAAGGTTATAATGTGAAACCTTTAGGTGTATGGTAAGATTGGTAAGGTAACAACTTGAAGATTCAACATATTATTTTTTAAATAAAGGGTGTTAACTATAATAATTGCAATCTGTCTCTGCCTTATTTTGTGAAAACCCGTTTACTTTATGTCTGCAAGTCTATACATATATATTCTAGTAGTTCAATAAAATTGTATTTTCACGTGGAAAAAATTCGAGTAGTCGTTCTCTCTACGGTTATACAGGGCGTTATTTAAGTATGTTGCCAAACTTCGAGGAATTGATCATTTGGGTGAATCTAAGACGAAAAGTCCTACATTCATGAGCAAGGACAATTATATTCATTATATTAAATTTCATCTACTTAAACTTTCTATACGGTGGTCTTAGCTATAAATTTATAGTTTCCGAGTTACGGGCAAGAAAATGAAAAAAGTACGAAAATTTCGCTGGTTTTTCCGAATATCTCGGAACGCTCCAGGAAGTGTTGTTTGCAAACTTCAGATTTGGATTCAGCACCCCCAAAAACAAATCAAACCGTAGAGAAACCGGCTACTTGAGTTTTTTCCACGAGAGGATTCTCATCATTAACCGTTATACTGAGCTATAGTTGAATAAGTATCTGAAAAAACTTCACAGATACGATACCTAAGAAATTCTACAAAATTCGTACAATAAATGAATAAGTTAACTACATGGACATGAAAAACTGAAATACTGTCGCAAAGCAAACATATTTCGGTGGGTACATAAGTGGCATGTCAGGGAACATTACTTGATCTAAATAATAATAGTAGTGATTATTAAGTAACTCAAACATTGACGTTAGTAATTTACGAAGAAAGAGAGAAATAAAGAAATGAGATACGGAAGGAAATGATCAGCAAAAAATCTATATCAAAACATCTAATATACCTCTCGCATACTAACTAGGTTTTCATTTAGAACAACAATGTTCTATTTGAATAATTCTATTGAGTAATTTGGCTCCGGTTCCATAAAATACCTTAGAATGTGTTCTCTTTTCCCAGAATAAACAAGCTGAATAAATATCTCATGGTATAAGTAGGTAATAGCCGTAGCTAGGATTAATTTATTCAGAACGATACGTACTTTCGTTCCATTATTAGTGCCATTGTCATGTTGATATATAAACTCAAAACTTTCAAAATAGACGTTTCCGATTGGTTGGTGTTAATGTATTTGGGATATTCATTGGATACTGGGTACCTACACGCTGTTTTTGTTATTGTTTTCCGTTTCCTCATTGGCAATTTAAAAAATAAAACAGCAACCTTTCCGGTAGCAGTCAGCAGGCTGTCATTAATGTTAAAATATTTCAATATTTAGGAACAAGTATATCTCAACACTAAACTGTAGCCTAAACCGTGATAGGCACTTCCTTTTAATTTGCATCCAAGAAATTTAAGGAAAGGCACTTACTGTTCATTTATATTGAAGAAATTTGTACTCAATTTTGGATATTTGTCATTTCAAAGATACACTTTTAATCAACCTGAACTCATGAGTGATACTGCTCAACATGACATTATACTCCATTTTGGCAAGTATGAATTCATTGGTGTGTTCTTAGTTTTGTAATGCGTAAACTGCAATCCAAAAATAAGACGTTAGAAATATTGTTTTATTTCTAAAATAATCATAACAAATACAACTCTTATTATTTATCGAAAATTCCTTCTCTGTCGAATATCGCGAGTGTGTTTCCCAAACAACATAATTATCTGTTTCTCAGAATCGAAGGAATTCATAATCACTTGTTGTATTTTATGTGAAAACATTGTATTCGCGATAGAAAATAACACGTCGTCGCACCAACTTGGAAAACTTTTGAGCGGTTTGTTTTGATGATATGACCAATAAGCACAAACAAAAAACAAATGTGAACCAATGAAAACCAAGTAAACATGCCGCTTTGACAGCTTTCAAAAACTCGGTAGGTGGCGTACGCTTATTTTCTATCGCGAATAGTAATAAAAGTTTTGATTTGGTGTATTTTTATTTTCGTTCTCAAAGAGCGATGCATTGAATATTCAAATGATAAAAATAATCGAATTTTGTTTCAATTCCGTTATATTTTGCTTCCTGGTTGGAAGCGGATGGATAAGTATTTTAGAAGAGTAGAACTTGGCAGAACTTACAGAGACGGATTGCAATATTTTCAATTGAAAAAATCCCGAATGTTATGAATCTTTAGTAAATGTCAAGTCTTTTTATCTAGCATCATGACATTCACAAGAGTTGCGGTGGGCAGTTCTTGTCTCGTTTCCTCCAATACCAAAGGGCCAATCTGTCATCCGTCGAGTCGCTGTCCGATGTCATGCCGCTACTTGTCTCCGATGGGCCTTAATTTTGTTTGACGGTACTAAAGCATACAAGTTAGTTAACATAATCTGCTGCAGCAAAAATACAGATATATCGCCTTCCTTTGCAAAGGTGAAATTCAATCCAGTAATGATAATCAAAGAATATTTGTATATAGGCTAATATAAAGAATGTTTCTGTTCATTTACTTGGATAGGAACTATTCATTTTTCTTCAAATTTGTTATGTATTGAATATAAAAGATGATTCGGATATTATTTCAGATGACATTTTATGAACAGTATGAAATACAGTTGAAATATTTGGGCTTCATTGAACTATTCCTTATTTGATAAATTTGGCAACTGTATCTGGTAGTAAATCATATTATAATACTGGGTGAGGCAGATTCATGGTATACTACCTCCCTTCTTATCGTTCTATTTCACAACAGTCACTTCTTGTTAAAAGAATATTTTCTTCACCTCTGGTTTCTCCGAGATTGGTAGCAACAATTGAAATATTTTGAATATTCAAAATATCCATTGGCGGTTGAACCAACCTTAATGTCCGGAGTCATTGGAATGAAGCAAATGAGGAGATATAACTAATTCTGCTTCACCCGGTATATCAAAGGCGAGCAAAAGTTAGGGTAAATTTACCATGCTTGATAAATGCATGGTTGTGTGGTGTGGCAATTTATTCACTAAAATTTGTTTCATTAGGTATCCAGCTTTCATAAATTACTGCCGGTAATATTCCACAGAATCGATTTATCTATACAGATTGTCATTTTTACATTTGAGAAAGTGTTCTACCCATCTAGGGATATGGTTTTCCAGTTGCAGTTGATAATTTGTAAAAACATTTTTTATTTAATAATTCAAATTAGAAAAGATACATATTTGAATTGAATGCTTCCATATCAATTTTTAACTCCAATTCCTCAATTTTACTGACGACAATTTATATTTCAATTTTTAATTAATTTACATTCAACAGATCAGACTTGATCGAAGGTTCTGGTGACATTGAATTTCATTATATTCTCAATTGATTTTTGAGTGGTGTTCTGACTTGATCGAAGGTTCTGGTGACATTGAATTTCATTATATTCTCAATTGATTTTTGAGTGGTGTTCTTCTTCTGAAAATTCCCATTTCAATGAACCGTGATTTAGAAATTAAATATCGTTTATTTTTTCACCAATATTATGATTTCAAACTATTTCAAAGTCGCAGAAAAGCAGTGGTTATGCAATGTTCAATATTCCTCAATATGCGTACTGTACATGCTTTTTACCATAGACATATAGGAAAAGGGGAGACGAAATTGTTTACATGTTGTCCTCCTGATCTAACATCGTTTTCTGCAGCGGTTTGCATTAAAAGTACAAGATTAGACCTAAGCATTTTCTAATAGGTATAATAGCGTTGTCATTGTAGTGAAATTGTCTTGCCCCTTGCCCAACTTACGTGACTGGTAAAGAAAAGTGAACATTGTCGCATAGTTTACAGCGTTGCCATTTTAAAGCCATCTCTTTCTAACTTATTTGAAACTTTATAGGTATGTATGCTTGTAAACACATAGTTTTTTATGAATGAAATCTCATGTCTCCCTTCTTTTTATATGTCTATGCTTTTTCCAATGGGAAACATGAATTAATTGACTTCTCAATAAAACATTTCATACTTCCTCCTTTTGCTTCAAAACTTGATAGACATGCTCATTAATAATCTCGAGTTTTCACTCCCCTATTCACTATTTCAGTATATTTATATTGCATATTTGTGTGCACTAAGAAAAATGATTATATAAATGTCAATTTCGACTATTCAGTATAAATATACCCACTCTTAATACAGTTAATGAGGGCTAACCTACTTAGTGTTTTCACTAGATAGCGCTACCAGGACGTGAGGTTGATGAAGCTGATGATTAGCGTAAAGTTGCACATTGAAAGTGGAAAAATATAAGCTCGCCTAATCACACACATCAATTGAGATTTTGTATTAGTTAACATAGAACAAACCATTGTTTCCATACATTTTCCGTTAAAAAGGCTATTGCCTTCAGGGCTATGCAGCAAAATTTGACATCATAAAAAAACTCACGTTCTAGTAGGGCCAAATAATGAGACTGAGAATGTTAGGCCTTATTACTTTTGAATCTGATGTTGAAAAACTGTTTCACTTATTTGATTTCAAGAAAAACAATTGTAAGATTGTCAATATAATGCATCAATCATTTTGTCTATAATTCATTCTGGTATTCTCACTGCATTTATGTATCCTCTTTTATAATTCAATATCTACAGTAGAACAAAACACGAGTGATCATTTTGGAATCGCATCCAGTTTTGATAAAGAAATATTTTCTCTTTCAGCTCTTAATCAATTCTTACCTTTCAGGATAATTTTTCCTTTCAGCTTCCTAATCGTTTCTCTTTCAGCAATATAAAGCAGATTCTGTAGATAACACTTATCTAATCAATAATTACTTGATTCGTTTTGTCTCTTGATCATTATATTCAACTATAGTCAATACCAAGCCTAACATCGTCATATTTTCAACTTACAGATAAGGAAGGACTTTATAGCCATGCTCCGAGAACACTCAGATATTGACAGACACGCCCACTGGTCCGATGTCAAGCGTAAAGTGGACTCCGATTCCAGATACAAGGCCATCGAGTCTCACACACATCGCGAAGATCTGTTCCGCGAATACTGCAAGATCCTCAAAGAAGAGAAGAAGAAGGCCAAAGAGAAGGATAGGGAACACAAGAAGGATAAGGATAAGCATAAGAAGAAGGACAAAGATAAGGAGAGGTCAAAGGACAAAGACAAGAGGGAGAAAGATAAGGACAAGGATAAGGATAAGGAGAAAGAAAAGGAGAAGGATAAAGAGAAGGAAAAAGAGAAGGATAAGGATGAATCCAAGAACGAGGATGAAGAAATGTCTGGAAAAGAAGTTGAGGTATTATAAATAAGTGTATCTGTATGTATAATCTGTGATTTACGATCATTTTGGGTCACTTCTGATATTGATCATTGTCATTTTTTTTCAGGAAGTTGAGAAAGAAGAATCCGAAGATGAAAAAGATAAGGATCAGAAAGAGAAAGATAAAGACAGACAGGCTAGGGCTGAAGCTAGTATGCGTGAGAGGGAAAAAGAGGTTCAAAGAACGTTAGCGACGCATATGAGGGACAGAGATAAGGAGAGAGAACAGCATAAGAGAGACGAGGCAGTACAGGTAAGAAAACACTTGAATAAAAATCATAATGTCATCTCAAAAATGGTTTTTTACACTGTTGAGGATTTAGGTTGATGTCTTCGTTTGTTTCTATCGTGTTACCATTTAATATTTATTGTAGAATTTTCTCTAATCTACTTACCGAGGAACTAAACTATTACCTACTGATGAAATCTCTGTAGGTACAATATACATTCCCTGAAACTGTTGGATTCTGTCCAAAAAAGGGTAATTGGTCTCGTGGGTGATGCTTGCTCACAAACTCACTCACTTCTCTGGAACACCATGGAAAAGTTGGCAATCTGGCTCTATTTTAAAGATATTTTCATGGACGATGCTCTTCTGAAATATCAACAATTGTTCCTCCCTTGGCAGTCCCCGCGAGATTAACCCGTCGACTTGAGGCTTCGCACCTCTTTGTGGTCACTTTGGAGACCTGCAGAATATCTCCAGAGAAGAGCCATTCGCCTGGTGGGTGACGCCACACTCACTCACTCTTTGACATCATTGGAACACCGTAGAAAGGTCGGCGACCTTTCACTTTTCTATCGATACTTCCACGGGAAATGTTCTTCGGAAATCTCTGCTATCATTCCTTCACTAGCAATACCAATCAGACGAACTAGACAAGCCCAGTCAGCACATCCTTTCGTTGTCAACCTCGAAAGATGTCGAACAGCACTTCATCAAGACTCCTTCATCCATAGAACGGCTAGGCTTTGAATTCATTGCCTGTGGAAGTATTCCCAACAACATATAATCTCCAAAAGTTCAAAACAAATTCCAATAGCTACCTCCTGTCCCTATCCTCCCTAGGAACGCACGATGTTCTTCGAACATTATAGGGATTCCCTTTCGTGCGCTCCAAGCGATACAAAAAAAAAAACAGCGAGGCTCTGGAACACATTGCCAAGGGAGGTGTTCCCCGAGGCATATAACCTCCAGAAATTCAAGAAGAACACCAATTCCTACCTTATTTCTCTTGGTTCTCACGATTTTCTCTGAACATTACAGGATTTCCCTTTTCGTGGGAACCAGAACATAAAAAAAATACAAGAAATTTTTAGGTCCATATATATCGATGCACAAATAGGATTTCTCTTTTCGTGGGAACCAGAACATAAAAAAAATACAAGAAATTTTTAGGTCCATATATATCGATGCACAATTATCGTGGACTCTACATATAGATCAATTGAGGAAAAAATTGAATCCTATTGCTGGTATTATATATACAATTCGAAATTTCATTCCTGTTAGATACCTAAAGAGTATTTATTTCTGTCTTTTTTATTCAAATTTACAATATCTAATATCTATTTGGGGAAGTACAAATATTTCACGTTTGAAGCCACTCGTGAAATTACAAAATAAAACAATAAAGTGCATTTTCAATTTACCTTTTTTAGAATCAACTGTTAATCTATACAAACCTAAAGACTTGCTAAATCTAGTTTCATTATATAAACTCAAAATTTGTTGTTTTATTCACGCCCATGAAACAAGGCAATTTAATTTTATTGATAGCAAATAATTATAAGTCAAATTTTGGTAAACAATCAATATTCCATAATGGAATAATTTAATATAACTCCTTACCTAATGAGTTGAAAAATATAGAAGAAGCAGAAAAATTTCACATCAAGTTGAAGAAATATCTGCTTAGTAAACTTCAATTCCATATCTACTAATCATTCACAATTTGATTACTTGTAGTGGATTATAATATTTTCATTTTATATTTTATTATAATTTTTTTTATGAAAAACAATAATTGTGCAATTATTATTGTTTTGATTTATTATGTTATATGTATGTTTTGTTGTATATATCCCTATTATAAACAATAATGTTTCTTGGGGTGATAAAGACAATCAATCACAAACGGCAAATATCTATCTTTTGAAAATAAGTGAGATATCTCGTGAGGACATCAAAAATGTACATATGTAACTTATATTTAATGACAAAATGTATTGATTTTACTTGATTCAATAAATGAATCAATTAATCCCTCAGCACTTCAACGCCCTTCTGTCCGACCTGGTGCGCAACTCGGAGCTGAGCTGGCGCGAGGTGAAACGGATCCTGCGCAAGGACCACCGCTGGGACCTGGCCGACACCCTCTCCCGCGAGGACAAGGAGAAGCTGTTCAACGAGCACGTCGAGCAGCTGGTCAAGAAGAAGCGACAGAACTTCCGCGAGCTGCTGGACGAGACGGCGGACGTGTCTTTGGTGAGCACGTGGAAGGAGATCAAGAAGATCATCAGGGACGATCCGAGGTATTCGAAGTTTGCCTCCAGTGAAAGGGTGAGTGTGACATGTTTGTAATTGCTATGGTGGGCCCGCTCTCCAATTATTGTCAATAAAATCAGAGCATAAGGGTTAAAGAGCAGCGTCTCTCCGTTGAAATACCTAAGTACTCGCATGTTGTGAGGATGCAGAGTGCCATTCAAGTTGAACGAGCTACGCGCTGGCCCGCGCTTGTCCGTTACTATCGAGATTAGAAGTCCAGCAGACTCTGACGTGAACAGCTCGTGACGTCACCTAATAGAGGCCAGTGTTTCACCGCTTGTCGACTGTCAGTTCCTGTTAATCCATGTTCGGTGATTCACGTATGTTTTTTTATGAAGCGGTCCCGAATTCTTTTGTTGTTTATTCATCAAAATAATTGGCGGAAAAATTTCTTTTTTGTGAAATATTTGATGTTGTGATAGGCGAAATAACAATGTCTTTCAAGTGTTGTGTTCCCTTTTGTCGGGGGAATTATGTAGGTGGTTCAAAAGTTCATGCTTTTAGTTTCCCGTTTGACAAGGAACTGTAGAAAAAGTGGGTATATTCAATTCACCGCGAGGATTTTACTCCATCTAAGTACAGTAGAAAACAGATCTTAATTTATAATGATGAATTAATAATAGAAGACAATTACTCTCTCATAAAAAGTATGAGTAGAGGAAAAAGTAGTTTTGTATTCAACAAAATCATCTCTGAATTCGAGGAAATGTTCTTGAATCTTCATAATAAACAGGCATTTTCAATTCTCAAATTTCTTTTTGAAAACGGTCATTTGCCTCGTGGCAATGAATGCAGAATTCATTCCAATGATCATCATATTAACATGTACTACAAACACTCTACTTGAAAAGGTAAAACTGCATTTATCATGCGATGGGTTTTTTTTTCGAAAATTTTTTTTGGTACTTACGTATTTTTGTCTGAAAAACACGAATCTGATAATGAAAATGTGGACAAACCAATATTTATTAAGATATTTGACTATAAAGTTACGAATTTCACCTTCTTTTTCGCCTGTCTTCTGGATGGCATTCAGAACAATTTTCCCTTCTTTTTTCATCATATTGGACAATTTATATATATATCACGATGTATGACACACTTTTTTCTATTATATGATTCAACTATAAATATGATTTTCTTGAGATTTATCTATATTTAGTGAAAAGAAGGAAGAATATCATTCAAAATGATGGCGTGTGTAATGTCATTCCACAGCAATCTATTGACTATTGATTAAATGGCCGTCACCTGGAATGCTTATTCACTAAATATGAAAAACTCGCCATAAAAATCATATTTCCAGTTGAATTTTCTTTATAAAAATGTGTCATCGAAGTACATCATGAGTATATAAAGTGTCCAATGACAAAATAAGAAGAGCAAGTAGCTTTAAATGCCCCCAACACAAGGGGAGAAAGAAGGCGAAATTTCGAACAGCAAAATCGGCTCAATAATGATCTAAAACTAAAATTGAAATACGCGGTCACCTTATAGCACCATAAGCGCTTGTCGTTTCGAGCCGCTGGTTAGGCCTCACTAAGGTGACGTCACCACGGAGCAGGCCTTATTGTCTGGATGGTAACGGCTAGCCACCGCTCAAAGCAAAGCAGTGGTTCAAGGTCAGCAGAAATACACTTACTTGAATGCATGTACCATGGATTCAAATGACGCTGCTGTAAATCTTGATACTGTGATAAAATGAAAAAACAATCCATTTCAAGTAGGTAATCAAATAGGTGTGTGGCGTAAATTCGACTAGTGTGTACTAGAGTCACTGGATGGTATCAGTAGATAAGAGTTCGGACACAGCTGAACTCTTATCTTTTTCTATTGTCTATATTACAATGGTGAATAAAGACCTATATTCTGCTCTTCATCTTTTCAATTTCCCTAATTGCACTTGATTGTCAGGTTTAGAGGTTAGATTTCCTGTCAAATCAATCATATCATCATCATATCATCATCAAAATGGAAATAGGGTATAAACATAAGCACCCACTTCAATTTATAGGGATAAGGCACTTTTAACAGAACAACAGTTATAAAAATGAAAAGAATGCATGTAACAACACTTTAATGACAAAATAGACACATATATATATAGCTAGTTTGCTGGGTATTGCAAACGCCATTCAATGATATATCACGTTCAAATTTACTGGATTTCCTCAGTTCCATTCTCAAATGTTCAATTTCATTAGGTAGTTTTGTAATCAATTCCTGTTTCTCCATGACAGTTTTGTTTTGCATTTCCTGTGATGATGAAAATGGCTTCTCTTTTTAAATAGTCTGTTTTGTTAATGACTGGAACAACGGATTCTCTCGAAAGGATCTTGAAATCTTCTGTTTAAAAATGGGTCTAAAATATAGTTTCATTCTAATCTGCTGTCTAATCTAATCTGTTGCTTGTCTTCAAATTAATTTTCCATCCAGGCCGTTTCCTACATTCCTTCCATAAGAGAATGGGGATGATATTTCCTTTGGTGAATTAATTAAATGAGATACAATCTCTTCAGAATTTCCACAATTCATTACCCAGCAAAACATTGTCATGTATGCTTTCTTCTCAATAGTTAATGAAATTATATTTCAATTCTGATGTTCATAGTATTTATTGTCAAATTTAATACATTCCGAATAAAAAAGCGCGGAACGACTATGATGCTCTTGTCACAATGCAAGGTGTGTAATTTGGTGAATCTAAACATTCAAAAACACTAACAGTTGTCATTTCTGTGCCCGATCTAACTAATACTATCCAGTTACTGTAGTGTGTACACTCGTCTTCAGTGAACATGTCGCGGTTGGACAGTATGAGCGCTCTTATTTCAGCGCTGATCAAGAGGGCGGACACTGTCCATGTGCGACATGATCTCTGAAGACGAGTGTACAACCCCATATATCACTGAAGAATTAGATTCTTGGAGTAATGATGAGTATGTAGAAATCATGAATTATGAGAGAAGGCCATAATACTGTGAGATATAGAAATGATTCTTATGATGATTTTGATGATGGAGCTTTCTTGAAAAGTTCTCATTATTTGAATCTCAGAGTGTTGATGATCCTGGAGCAAATTGAAGGGTACCTACATTGAAACTTCAACAGGAAAAGTGATTATCACATCAGTATTGCCGCCGCCAAAGGCTATGTTCGAACGTTTCATGAAATTGTAGGCTATTCAAATGATGTTTTTTGAAATATTACAGCATATTTTATCAAAAAATTGATGTATTCATGTTATGTTATGCTCAATTATATGCATATTTGAATTAAATCCATGCATTTGTGTCCTTGCTTATCAGTGCAGAGATTCTGAATTGAAAATTCGAATTAATCAGTCGACTAGCACCCATTTTGTTATAGTTGGGGAGACAGCGTCATTTTTCTTTGACACATTTGATGAAGAATAATTTCATTATTTTCGTGTCATATTAACGCCTTCTAGACATAAAATCAACTCCTGCCGGCGCACCATCGGGACAACGCTGATCTGCAGCTTATGTTATTAAAAAAACGAGTAATATGATAAAAGCTCAAACTTTACCAATCATTCATTGCCATATCAGATAGAAAATAAAACACCTTCTGCCACCTATTTCGTAGAACGATGTACTCCTGCCATGGACCTAATGATGTGGAAAAAAAGTGTCCCAGAACAACGTACCATAAATTCTACAGGGTGAACTAGAGACCTGAATATGCCGATTAAAATCATTTTACCTCTATACGATAATGCCTCGGTGGGCCGTGAGAGGACACTGATGAATAATCGATTTTTTCTACCACTAGCTATAAAACCTACGTAAGTATAAAGTGTGGCTTTACTACCAAAGTAGTTTTCGGCATTTTATGAACCACTAGTCAATAAAGACATAGCCACCTCTGTTGTGATTATCCCGAATGCCGAGCCGAATGAAGAATTGAAAATAAGTGCTTTCATAGTGACAATAGGTCCATATTTCGGTTTCACAGAACTAAAATGATTGAAATATATTGCTAGTGGTGAGAAAAATGTAATATAAACCTTGGTAATAAAGAATATCAAAATGTGGTCTCTCGATCTCCCTGTATATTGATCGAATTGGTATAACATGTTTTTCATGCACATTTACGATAGTACATTAACCTACGAATTTTAGAGCAGTAAAATTGAAGGATTTTGAAATATCCAAGAAAACCTTTAATAAAATATAAAACCATTCTTCAGTGCCCTCTAACGGCTCAACGAAGCAACGATCGACCTATTCGGGTCTGTAGTTTTCCCTGTAGAATTTATGGTACAATTGTTCTACGAGACAGGTGGCAGGAGGTGATTTTTTTATCAACTGATATGTCATCAAACGATTGGTAAAGTTTCAGCTTATATCATGTTTGTCATTTACTCGTTTTTTTTAACAACATTCATAAGCTGCTGATGAGCGTTGTCCCGCGATTGAGGTGGCTAGAGTGGATTTTGTTGATAGGCTGTATTATTACAACAGATAAAAAATGAACCAAGCTTCATCAAATAATACATTGAAACATGCCGCTAGCTCCCAGGCTATTATCGACTCATGGCAGTTACAACAATCACCCATCATTTCCAGTGCGAAAGGGAGTTCAAGGACTACATGAAGGACAAACTCATCCTCGCCAAGGGCCAGTTCAAAGAGCTCCTGCAAGAGACCAAACTGATCACTCACAAATCCCTGGCGACGCTCAGAGAGAACCAGGCGCACATGCAGGAGATCGAGGACATCCTCAAGAACGACAAGCGCCACCTGGTGCTCGACCACATCCCGTCGGAGCGCACGCAGCTGGTGCTCAACTATTTGGAGGAGTTGGACAGGCGGGGGCCGCCACCACCGCCCACGGCCAGCGAGCCCAACAGGAGGGGCGGCAAGTGAGCGGGAGGCGGGTGAAGGGGGCGGTCGTCGAGTTCAGTCGAAGGTAATTGACGTGGGTATGGTTGGATAGGGTTGGTTCGGACATCCACGGTGTTGATTGAATGGGGATGGTAAGGACAGTGTTTAACCCGGCGTCACTCAGGTAGGGTCTCAGATGGCCAGACAAATGTTAAATCACTGGCATTTCAATTTGAATGCACGCACGTTTGTTTGGTTGCCTATAGCTTCCCTAACACTCTTGCTGTCAGGACCCTGTTTTCCTCTCTCTATTACAGGCTTTATCAGTCATATGTGACCGACTGTGACTTAAACGGTGCTTGGCAGTGATTTTTAATCGACAGCAGAAGTTTCAGTTCGAGCAAACGGTGCTTGGCAGTGATTTTTAACCAACAGCAGAAGTTTCAGTTCCAGCCGTGTCATGCGAAAACGACCGACGATGCATTCAAATCTCCATTAGATCTGAATTCGCGGCGCTCAAATGAACGTATGTGAATTTTTTTATGGCGTTCACTATGAAATTTGTCACTACAATAATGCCTCAAAAACGTTCATTGTATAAAATGTGGAAAAACTCATGTACATATCTGAATCTGATTATTATTGGAATGGGTTTTCACATGACATTCAAAGCACATAGAAGGCATCTCTTGGCAGCCTTCTCAATGCGTCCGCACTCTCTTCACCTCATTTTCAGCCCCCCATATTGTTTCAAGAGATTTTTGTAACAAATCAATAGCTATTTGTGTATTTAGAGCGCAAAGTGATAGATTGCCGCTCGACAAAGAAAGTTACCGCGCGATGCGGAGCGGAGCGCGGTAATCTTTGAGGAGCGGCAATAACACTTTGTGCTCGAAATACACACAAGATTTTTTCTACTAACGCAGCTTTTGGAAATAACTACCCTGAAAGCATGAGCGATTGAAATAGTTGAGAAAGTTCTTATTCATATTATCCCATATGTCCAAAGGAAACAAAAAAAGAAAAATTGAAATAACTGACAAGCTAGAAAAAAAATGTCGGGCCTACCGAGAGTTGGACCACCAGCGTGGCAACCTGAGCTTCAGACCTCTGAGCCATAGTACGATAAACTCTGTAATCAAATTGAACATTACTCATTGATGCAATAAAATAAAGATACACTGTCTTTCTGATTACAACAAAGAGTTTGAATATAAAGTAAAATTCATCGTTTTCAACAGATATTCTTCATCGGGAGCTTCTTGTAGAAATTTGTTGGTATATATCTTCAGCGGTGAATGTTTTGGATTTTTCTCGCTTTATATCCAATAGATTGTTTCTTGAGTAATGCGATAAGTTTCAGATACTTATTGATTCCGATATTAGCTTTAACATTCAAGCATGTATACGTACCATCGAATATATAGACCAATGAGTTGATGACTTCAAAGTCTTTGATTTTTTACCAAAATAAGCCAGTAAAATGTTTTCTGAATTCATATTCACCATCTCGGAGTGGCACCAATTTATGAATGTATCATATTGTAATTCATATTTCTTCTTTGATTTCTCCGGTAAGAGATTCAAACTTTTGTGCTTTCTGCTATATCATCAGGAAGGAGGTGTGTTTGATGATTCCCTGTCACTATTTTCCATCATGACAGAATTGGGGGTTTTCAATAATAGATAGATGAGTATAGGTTACAGAGATGTGCGAGCGTTTTTTCAATATTTCCGCTCACGAGCGCAAATGCTGTCAAAGAATTACATTTCTGGGAGGGAAAACGTCAACTTTGTTCTGGAATTTGAAAGCGTCAAAGGCTACTTTTTTAAGCGTTTGTAGAAAAACAAATTTTCCTAGCTTTCGGTGTTTTATCCTTTTGCTGTTATAGCAAATGTTCCAACACTTGTGAGTTTATCGATAAATTAATAACTAATAGGAGTATATCATGCACTTTCACTTATTTACATTGAAAAAAATTGCCTTGTCAGGTCGCGTCGGTCGATTTTAGCTGACATCCTTTTATGCTCTTCTGTACACCTAGAACAACTTAACAATGTCTGAACAGCAATATGCTGATCACTTCCCTCTACTCTGAAAACTTCGCGTGGCCTGCCGCGTTCGAACCAATGAAAATGCATCGGCTCAGCACGAGATCAAGCTGTCGGTCAAAAATAACCGACATGGCAGTCAGAGTGCTAAAAACTTCATTCTGTAATATTGTGGTGCGAATTCAATCTTTAGATTAATTTAGTTACCAAGATAGTGACAGTGCAGTAAACAGTTTTGGGGTCTGAGAAGCCCCAGATGTGTAACAATGATATACATTTTATTCTTAAGGCAATGGATCAATTTTTGCTTTTTTCATTTACTACATGCTACTTTTCTAGCTGATAACTTGAACATTTCAGTAATTAGTTTTGCATGAAATCTGACAGATTTGAGTGTTGCACATTTTTTAAACAGTTTTCAGATATATCATGTTTTTTTCCCGTGAGAATTTCGCCCTTTATATGTCTTTGATGGTATCTCGTGAATTGAACTAATTATAAATAGTTTCTGTTTTTAATCATGAAGTATATACATCTAAAAACTCGTTTCACATACAAATCTGGAAATATTCCTAGTGGTGTTTTTCTCATGTTTCTAATTATGGGGTTTATTAGACCCCACCTGGGTTATAATGTACATATTTTCCACCTGGGTGACGCCGGGTTAAGGAAATTGAGTGACTATATCATCACCCCATGAAACATTTTTGTTTGTAATTGGGTTATATAAAAAATATATAACAAATCAAATTTTATCAGTAATAATTCATGATATTGAACAATAATTAAAAAAAAGATCACTCAAATCATTGAATGAAGAACATACATATTGAAAGTGTTCTGAGTAAGTTTTTCCTCAAAGAATTGTGAGAAGAATACCAAACGTTTTATCAACTTCACAAAGACCTTATAAGTCCAGGAGCCGGATGCATCTAACAATGAAATGATATATGTCTCAAGGGCATGTAAATACTTTGTATTGTATCAAACGGCCCCTGTGCCAATCACTATCCTGAGCAAAATGATTGAAAAATGACAGTTTCCTGTGCGGCAGGATTTCAGGATTTGTTAACGAGATGAGAATTATGCCATCTGATACCAATTAAATGGTAGATTTCAAAAACCTACCTGTGCCACCCCATAATCAGACTCAAATCCACACCACACCATTTTATTTGCTGCCATTATTCCAGACATACATGTGATAACAAGTTGAAACAAAAAACAAATGACTATACCACCGTACCGCGATTCAAAATGAGCTAAGTTAGTGGCAGAGCGTCAATATTTTGCCCTTCTCGAAAGATAATATTCCATAGACCAGAGTAAAACTCAATATGTGGATTGATTGCTTGTAGTGCTAGCACCACATGAGTTTCACATTGGTCCATAGGATATCATCATTCGACAATGGAGGAAAATAACTAGAATATTGAATTTTCTGTCAAATAATTAATGTAACCAGTCCCAAAACTATTCAAATATCAAGATATGATTTTGTGAATCTCAACTTGATTGTTTCAGTAGTGTCAGCTTCATTAATTTGTATCTTATATTCATTGGGAGTGTTTAGTTTTGAATTTAAAGTCTTCACACAAAAAAATAATTGACTATCGAGTTTCCATTGAAAAAAGTATGTATTTCATTTCAACATTTACTAACGTGCTGTTTTTTGCATGCCTTCATTGACCATAGCTATTCACTGGATGTCTGAATGAACTCTATTTAATCAAATATCTTCTGCAATTTTCCGATAGGTAAGTTGTTAGATATTATTTTCGATCGTTCTTTGTAGAGAAGGGAAGGATAGATGAGATAAAGTACTTTTGACAAAGAAATATTGCTGGTCTTGAATTTGGTGCAGATGTAACATTGTCAAAACTCACCTTCAAACAAAGCTGTTATATTTTAAAATAATTATAATTCATATGGCTTTTTTATTTCAAAAAGAAAGCTAGTTGAAACTTCCAACTTTCATAAATATGTAATGTTTGACTTCAACTGATTTGATTTTATTGTATCATTTATTAGGCCTGCTGCCAAATTTTATGTTATTAATACATAATTGACTATCTACATTACAATGTTGACTTGTGCAAGCATTTACACCAATAAAATATCATTATAAGTACATTAGTAGTTGACTGTTTTTTGATTTCGGCAATAGTTTCAGAGTTATTGTAAAATCAGATGCGAAATCTTGAAATTTTTTTGTCGAAACTATTCATTTATTGATCAAAACGGCTCACATGTCCCTATCTCAACTTTTGATCAACTATCTACTGACATTTAATTGAAACAAATACAGGGTCGTGCAGAATTCAGAATCTTGATCACCCGGTATATGTCCCAATTAAATATCAGTGGATAGTTAATCAAAAGTTGAGATAGGGACATGTAAGCCGTTTTGACCAATAATGAATAGTTTCGACAAAAAAAATTCCTAAAGTTGAAAAATTACGATTTTTCACACCCTATATCTCTGTAATCATTTCCGCTAGACCCCAAGTGTGATATATCGATGAAATTAGCTCTTCAGAAAGAATCTGAAAATGCAATAAAATACAGGGTGTTCCATTTAAAATAACAAAGTTGTTGCTACTTTTCGATAGAAGCGGCAACGCCGCAGAGCTGAAAATATTCTAGATCGATAGACCAAGAGCAACTACGTGAGTAACCAAAATTTCAGAATGATCCTATGCCCCTTTCTCCATAAACGTCGACCGTGAGTTACCCTGTATAGGTAAATAAACCTATCTTATATGGATTCATCATATTTCACTAAGTAATTCAATACAAACTCAAGTGAGTCACAGAAAGTCTTCTAGCGTATCGGAGAATCAGAAATTGCCTTCTGTTATGAGAGGATTATCATAGGTATTCATTAGTAAGTATTCATAGTAAGTATACTCATAGACCGGTCACTTCTTTTTTTCATGTTCTCTTGCCGCGTTGGCAACTTCTGGCAAGCAGGTTTTGGACCGATGACG